GATTTTTTGGCCAAAAACAACACCACAATAATGCCTCAGCCACCATATTCACCGGATTTGGCCCCATGTGACTTTTTCTTGTTCCCAAAACTGAAGATAATCGAAAAATTTGAAAAATTTGAAATTTGAAAAGTCACCTTACTTTTTGAACACACCTCGTATAACTTCTAAAAGGTTTCGATAATCGAAAAATTTGAAATTCGCGAAATTTGAAGAGTCACCTTACTTTTTGAACACACCTCGTACATTTATTTTTATACCCGTTACTAGTGGAGTAAGAGGGTATACTAGATTCATTGAAAGTATGTAACAGCTAGAAGGAAGCCTTTCCGACCCTATAAAGTATAAATATTCTTGATCAGGATCAATAGCGTAGTCGATTAAGCCATGTCCGTCTGTCCGTCTGTCCGTATGAACACTGAGATCTCAGGAACTATAAGAGATAGAGAGCTGAGATTACGCCTGGCAGATTTTTGAGGTCCCTACGATTAGCATCCTGCCACGCCCACAAAGAACGGATAACTAAAATGGATGAAATCTCAGGTACTATTAGGGCTAGAAAGTTGAAATTAAATATGTATAATCTTGATATGAAGGGGCATCTGATGGTGGTACAATTATACACACCGACTCTTATGCCCACCAAGCTCGAAAGACGATTTTCGCATTTTGTAGAAAAGCTGATATCTCGGTAAGTATAAGTGATAGAAAGTTCGGATTAAACATGTATGTTTTTATGATTCCCGAAATGCAAATTGTGTTTTCCCATCTAGTTACGCCCACCCTAACGCCCACAAACCCCGGAAACCCAAAAATGCAAAAATCTTAGGAACTATAGGAGCAAGAAAGTGTTGTGTTTGAGTACACGTGTCCCAGAGATGCCACTGCAGCTCGACATGAGTTACCACTCTAACGCTCACAAGCCGCGAAAAACTGTGGAGCGCATTATAATTTAATGAATGTCTTCGTTTGAACTTGTATAACATATTTTTGTATTGAATCGTATTTGTATCTATCGGAGAATTTTTAAATCGGATATTTATTTCGCTATTTATGAAGAAATTTAGGTTATAAGACCTTTGGGGCAGTGACGTGAAGATCAGTTTCTCAACATGCTTTCTCCGACATAGGTGGCGCTTTGGGAATTTCCACTAACAATATTAATATTTTAAAATTGTGTAAAACAGTAACGGGTATCTTATAGTCGCGGCACTGGACTATAGCTTTTCTTCCTCCTCCTCCTCTACCTCCTTTTTATTAGACTTAAAAACATATGTAACATATCCATTCGGAAATAAAGCTTTATTTAATTACCAATAGTTTTTAGATTTAAATTTGTACTTCAAATATTGTTACTAATATACACATGTATGTAAAGCAATTTCTGACATTCTATTGAATGTTTCGAGACATTCTTAATGGGCTGACAGACTGTTTAACAATATCTGTATAGCCCAATAATTATCATCACCCTTCCAGTAGACGCACAATACTATTTTCCCCCATCGAAGTGTATAAATACTTCAACCGCTCATTAGCATCAGCCTGTTATAAAACTCGTAATATTTTTCAATACAGCATTATAAATAGATCATTTTCAAATAGTTGTTTAGCAGATCGAACTCACCTGTCAATCCGGTTGAGCAGAGTTTACATTAAATTTCGCTTTGGTAAATGTTGTTAATTAGTTTGAATGTTTTTGCGATTGTTTGTTTGTTTTGTGTTTGTTGTTACGCGGGAATGTTTTTGGGCGCCAAAAAGTACAGTCACCAACACAGAAGCAAAACACGCACAGAGCGCTTGTTATTAGCTGTCGAAACAGTTATTTCCCCGACTCTCTATCTCACTCGGACCCTCTCTTACAATCTCTCTCTTTCTCTGTCTCTGTTTCCCTCTTCTGGGGTTTTTAATGCAGTTAGCGGCGTTTTGGATGATGCACTTGATCCGCTGTTGTCGGTTGCAAATCGGGGGAAAAACGGGACAGGTTCTGGTAATTTTACGGTAATTCCTGGCTACCTCCTTTCGTCGAATTCGGTCGGCTGATTGATGGATGCCAGAAGCGCACACACTGCACAAGAAACACACAACTTGACTGAGCGAAATTGCACAAATAACTGAATTGAAATATCCCCCCGCCTCTTACTCACACACACGCACACACACACTCGCCCAGAGAAAGGGAAGGCGAGAGAGCTAAGGTGTGGGAGCGAGAGGGCATGATTTGCTCCGCTTATTTTCGTTCAAAAATTTCTTACAAATTTGCTAAAACCCAAAAAATGAGTAGAGAAGCACGGTGCACTCGAGTGCATTTTAATTGATTTTTTCTTTATTTTTCCCACCCGGCTTTCACTCACAGCAGGATGGCATCTCTCTCGGTCCCACGCGGCGTATGCGTAACATTTCAGTTGCATTTCGGCAATTCGAGTTTGAGTGGATTTTGGAATTTGAGTTCGAGTGAGACTGAGAATGAGAATGAGAATGAGTGGGCGATCTCCTGTGGGTCACGGCTCCAGTTGCTCGCCTCCATAATTTTAAGTTTTAATTAGCTTTTTGTTGCCGCTGTATTTTCGACAGCAAACAAAAGTTGCTGCTGCATCAAATTTTTAATTAATTACACGTAAGAATGCTGAAAAATTGATGGCCGCAGGGGGGTTTCTTTCGTTTTGGACAAACAATTAGCATTTCACTGTCCCAAATATTATTCAGAAGTATGGGGCTCTAAATGAATGAAAAGTTTGGGGAAGTTTTCTGAGGGATAGCTTTCATTTTTCAAGGGGGTGTAGAGACTTCCGTAGGCCCGGTGTAGACAAACTTTTTAATATGAAAATTGCTCGTTTAGGGCCGTGAAAATTAAGTGGTTCAGTTGAGGACTGGGAAAATGTAACCCTTTCGATTGATTCAAGTCTGGGTCGTATTTATGTTATTGTCTGTTTAGAAAAACTTGATAATAATAAGTTATAAAGGGAAGTCCAGTTACCATTTCTTGACCAGTTTGTTTTCGTTGTGGATTCATTATTTATAATTAAATTAATTCTATTAAACTAAAAACAGAATACTTACATTAACTGGTTAACAAAAAGGTCACATTTAATAACATTTATTAATTGATATTAATTTTTAGTGTAACTATGGATTGATGTTGCAGAATGTTAATGTTAAACAAATTTGAATAGCTATCCAAAGCTTGACAGTAAAAGCGTTTTAAATCAAAGGCAAGCTGTCAAGACGAATTACACTTGTAAATGCAACTCAGACTCAATTCTGAGTTTAGAATATCCGGATACAGGGTGTCGCGAAATCCGTGCACATCCAGGCTTGATCATGCGCAATCGAAGGCAAAGGCCATTCCACTCACTCGACTGGAGAGCAACAAGAATGCAACACCTACACGGCACAAAAACACACCTGGACAACCTAAAGTAATGCGGCAAGCAAAGAGAGGGAGAGAGTGCCACAGAAAAGGGGGTAAGGAGAGGCAGAGATAGAGAGCGGCGGGCGGAAAACAAACGTCAGCTGCATGGAAACCCAAAGGCGGGACAATTCCAATTGTGACATTTGCCATTGTTGGCCAGTGTAATGACACACACCTACACGAATGAGTATGAGTTCGGCACGGGAAGGGCCTTAAATATTTATGAATGAAATGTTGTATACTTTTCGGGCACAAATGCAGGAGGTAATACAGAGAAAACAAAAGCTTGGCAGTGTCCAACAAATAGTTAAATTTAGTCTCAATGTTTAAAAAAATAAAATAATTTATTATATTTTAGCTTAATTGGAGGCTCAACTAATTCTAAATTGTCACCCAAACATTTCACTTTAAAAAGCTTGATCTAACAATTTGTAAAAATTGTAAAAATGGTTAATTTTTTTTAAAGATTTTCTACTTACATAATTGGAAGAACTGCAATATAAATAATAAGAATTCTTTGGTGGTTTTAATATGTAACTGATTTCTTTATTTAAAGTAGTTTCTAACCTAAATAAACGAGTCATAAAAAGAGTTACCGTAGACTTCTTTATAGGACCAAGAATTGTAAATTTTTATAAAGTAAAAAAAAAATTAAAAATCCTTCTGTTACTGATTTTTAACAATTACTCCTTCATTAACTCTTATTTAAATAAAATTGACACTGTGAAAAACAACGAAACCTTCGGAGAATACCAATTCTTTTTACTTTTAATAGCAAATAAAAAATATAGACTAGAAATTATATATTTTTTCAAAAGATAATCCTCTGCAATTCATCAATTCTATAAGCAGCTTGAAGCCACTGTTTACTCTAAAAATAATCGAATTTTCCATATGGAATAGTTTCACCACCGATGCATGACCAAGGGTAAAAGTCTGTGTCCGAAATGTCCCTCACAATGAACTCCCGACCAACGGTCAACTAATCGCAGTGGAAAATCCAAAAACCAATACTGCTCTAATTGCATCGGAATTATTATGGCTGACCTCAAGCGAAGGGCGTTGATGAGCGTTGACCACGGTCCAGGTCGGCAATGAACCTCAAAGAAGTGGAAACAACCGTTCGCAACACACATGACTAAGCGGACCATCGACCAATTTTAAGGTTAATGACTGTGTTTACGCAAAATAAATGTGAACCCCAGCCCAAAAAAGCGGTTAACTAAATTAAATTGATAGCAATATGCTAAATAGATGAGATGTGGAATGAGTATTAGAGGCGATAGCCCAATAAGGGCCCAAATAGTTTTGTTTTGTTTTGTTCTCGATTTGTTAACCCGTGCTAAATACGTTTGAAATGCGTTTATGGGAGATTTTAAAATATTGCGTATACGCCGCTTGGTTATGCACGAACGAACAAACCGAGCTGCCCCTGATGGGCGGCCGATTAAGCTCCATTAAAAAAGCGTTTTATGCTTTAAAAATTGCAAGCATTCGGCGGCGAACTCTATAAAAACAGTTAATGCCGGAGATTTTGCATTCAGTCAACGTTCGAGGATTACACACGACAAACACGGAAAGCACAATCATGTCAGGGAAACAGACGAGCAATTGCCTCTGGTTGGTTTTGGTCCTCGTCACGATGCTTTTTCAGCCCTCAGAGTGCCAGTACTATGGATATCCCTACTACGGAGGAGCTACAGCAGGAGCGGGATCGGGCTACGGGAACATATACGGCAGCGGAATGTACGGATACCCCTACAGTTATGGCGGATATCCGTACTACTCGTACCCCAGCTATAACCCGTACTCTATGTTCGGCGGTGGTGGTGGATATGGGCAATACGGGTACCCCTATGGAGGATATCCGTACGGCGGCAACGGCATGAGTAAGTAATCAGTCTCCGCGCTTCTTAGTCATTGCACCCAAGTAATATGCAAGTGTTCTGGACTTGTTTTCTCCTCTAGATGTAGCATACGCCAGTAGCAGTGGAGGATTCGCAACAGCTAGTGCGGGCGGAAACGGATATTACGGCTGAGAGACAGAGGAACATCGCATGCTAAGCTAGTTTTACTGTACATACTGGTTAAGTCTTCCTACTATGTTAGTGTACTAATGCTAATAAATATAATAGTTATGTAATATGTAATACACGAAAAAAGAGATTTTGTTTTTTTATACTTTCATGTATATCAACTGAAAAGCAATTTGATCAAAGCATTAACTATCGGAATAACTAGTACTCTAATATATTAACTGATTTTACAGTAAAGGAAATAAATAATAAATTGAATAAATCAATAGGAATAGGAAGTTTGTAAGATACATTAACCACAATTAAGTATATGGGCTTGCATCTCTACCCCAGACCAATATGTAAAAAAATATGAGGGCGAGGTTTCAATATCCTAAATTAAAAATATAACAAATTTCATACATTATAATATTCAGTATGGTTTGTCTTGACCAATGCTCTGCAGCCCTGGGGAATATCCTTCAATTGAAATATTGAGATACCGGTTGAAAAACATTGAAAGAAAGAAAATATTTTGTGTTTTTTTCTGTTATAAATTAACTCATTTAATGACTCATATAAAAATAATATAAATAGATATATAAATAAATATACTTATCGTATAATAACACATTTGAATCCACTACATTTTCGCGCGTAAGATATATCTGTGGATAGTGTTGAGAAATGTGTTTTTAATTTATCGGTCAGCCGATAACTCCCGGCAGTTATTCGGTTGTCTTATCGGCTATGAAATCGTTAGCCCCTTCTGTTTCGACCAAATAGTCTCACAAAACACAAAACAAAAGCATTGACGTCGTGCTCTCGCCAAATTCCGCCGCCGTCGCCTTAAATAAACACAAAGTAAGCCTAAAACCAGTGCAAAAATCGCAATATTTTCAAATTTGAGATGGAAAATGGAATAAATAAGCAGTCATAGGGGGAAGGCTAAAAGGCGGCATAAAAACATTACAATTGCGTAATTGGGGCCAATAAGAAAAACAACAAACACAAACTGCATTCAAATGCGCCTGTGTGCGAGTGCGAGCGTGTGTGTATCTACAGCTGAGCAGTAAATTTTTTTGTTTTCCTATTTGGCCTCAAAAAGCAACTTGTGACTAGTAATATCGGTTTTTGCGAATTAAAATTAATGTGTACTATATCTTAGTACATTATTTAGCACTTGACGTGCAGTGAATGAAAAGAGGAAGACAAGGTAGCAAAAGTATGCTTACGTTGAAAAGTGCTTGCTCCACATTTGTCGGTCCCTTTCGCCCCCCCTCTCTTTATCTATCTTTTCTCCCCTCCATCTCTTTCCCTCTCACGGGGCTGCTCACGCGCACCGTGGGGTGTTTTTTCATATTGTTTTGTGTGCCGCTTTGGCCCCTGCTCTTGCCTCCCCTCTCCAATGGTTGTGCCGCTTAATTTCATAAATCAAGGCAGCGTCAGTTAAAAAACAACAAGAACTACTTACTTCTGTTCGATTCCCCTTCCCTTCAGTCCTTCTTTTCTATCATTCTGGTTTCGGCAATGGGAAATTTCCGTAGCCACCGCACAGTGGAAGAAGATTTTTGGCCCTAAATTAAAATTACATGACTGCAATCTGTGCTTTTATAAGTAGGTCATTAAGTCTAGAGCCAAGCTACATAAGTTGGATAACTCATACTACAACTTAAGCAGCTTAAAGTTAATAAAGCCTAGATAGTGAAAAGATAGTTCGCACCCTTAAAAGTCCAAATGTTTATTCCCACAATTAGATCTTAAATATCTACTTAAAGAATCACAATGTATCTAACTACAAAAAGACGTTTCTAGCGATCATTTGTTAATTACAGAGTTGATTTAAGGTAACTATATTAAAATTAAAATTAATATAAAACTCTATAATTAAAATAACATCAGCTTTATGATGAATTTATCCCACTGTGCGCATAGTAGACAGAACAGCTGATGCTCGTCAAATTTTAGCTTTCTGCTTGTACATAAAAGCACTTTTAGAATGCAAGTGTGAGTGAGCGAGGAAACCGCGATATCGATAAAAAAACAAAAAAACTAAAAAGACATCAGTCATCAGTTGACAAACTGGCCAAGTTGATTTAGAATAGCGCTGCAGTACGTATATTTTTGTTTCGCAGTGTTTTCTTATCTGGGGGTGTGTTGGGTGCTTCACGTTTGGCTGCTTATCAGAATCACGCGACTCGTCTCGGACCCCCAATGAATGGTCAAGGTTGCTGATAAATGAATACTAATCAAACGCTTGCTCGCTTTCGCTGCCTTATCGGTCAGATAGCAAAATTCTAGGTGATACGAGCCGACGACGACGAAAAATCTAGAGAGACCCCTTATATAATTCGGCAGTAAAGGAGACAGGCCCCTAATCCCGACAAGATGTTGCGAATGCTGAGAAGTTCTTCCTCCAGGTGCTCCAATCTGCAGCAAAGCGTGGTGAAGAGGTAGGTTTCAGTATATAACTTTTCAATTTAAACATCTAACATGAAATGTTATCTAACTATTTCTGTTAGGAAGGAGAAAATATAAAAGTATTAATATATTATTCTTATATTATGTCAATAATTTAGTAACTGATATATATTAAAACCGATTCAATCTTCCCCTACAGCTGCACTCGAAGTCTGGGATCTGTTATACCAGCACTAAACCTTAAGGATTTTCCAATCGTAAATGAGCCGATCCTGACATATCGCAAGGACTCAAAGGAGCGTAAGGCCCTGGAGCAGGCTCTGAAGGGCACGGCCTCGAGCTGCGAGGAGATTCCCATTGTGATTGGAGGCAAAGAGTACAAAACGTCGGAGGTGCGCTACCAGGTAATGCCCCACGACCATCAGCACAAGCTGGCTAGCTTCTACTACGCCGACAAGAAACTCATTGAGAAGGCTATCAAAACGGCAGTGGAAACGCAGCCCAAGTGGGACCGTGTGCCCATTGCAGACCGTCTCAAGATCTGGGAAAAGGCAGCTGATCTTATGGCGACGACGTACCGCCAGGAACTGAATGCTGCCACCATGCTGGGACAGTCCAAAACGGCTATCCAGGCGGAAATAGATTCGGCAGCGGAGCTGATCGACTTTGTACGGTAAGTGCTCCTCTAGGGCTTTAGCGTGAAGTAGAATTTTAAAGGAAGTGTCTTCTAAATTTCAAAAAAATATTCTTTAGGGGCTTTATAAAAAAGAAACTAAAGATATCATCTAGTTATATTAATTCATTATTAGTCTGTTCCAAAATTAAAATCAATACTTTACCTTTCAGAATGAATGCCTACTTCCTGAAGGAGGTCACCAAATATCAGCCCATTAGCGAGGATATCAAAGTCACGAAGAACTCTTTGCGATATCGTGGCATTGATGGCTTCATCGCCGCAGTCAGCCCTTTCAACTTTACAGCCATTGGTGGCAATTTGTCCTACACCCCAGCTTTGATGGTAGGTCTAGCTTATCCTTGAAATTTCCAATAGATTATCGGACCGCCCTTCTTATTCGCAGGGAAACGGTGTGCTGTGGAAACCGTCGGACACTGCCATGCTGTCCAACTGGCTAATTTTCAAAATTATGCGTGAAGCGGGAGTGCCCGACGGAGTCGTTAACTTTGTGCCTGCCGATGGGCCCGTGTTTGGGGACACCATTACCGCCAGTCCCCACTTGGCCGGCATCAATTTCACCGGCTCAGTGCCGTAAGTAATTGCCGGTCTATTGATTTTCCTATTCAAACCCATCCCTTCCGGCAACAGAACCTTCAATCGGCTGTGGAAGCAGGTAGGCAACAACATTGACAACTACGTCAACTTTCCCCGCTTGACTGGCGAGTGCGGTGGCAAGAATTTCCACTTCATACATGCATCAGCCGATGTTGAGTCGGTAGTGACATCCACAATACGTTCGGCATTCGAGTACTGCGGTCAGAAGTGTTCCGCCTGCTCGCGAATGTATGTGCCGGAATCTCTGTGGCCACAGGTTAGTTCAAGGTGCATCAGATTACGTTGTTTACGGTATACTAATCCTCGAACTTCTAACCGGCAGATCAAGGAAGGCCTGTTGTGCGAAGCGTCGAAGCTGAAGATTGGAGACGTTCAAGACTTCAGCAGCTTCACGTCGGCTGTGATTGATGACAAAGCATTTAAACGCATTACGGGATACATTGAGCATGCTAAACAGTCGTCGAACTTGGAGATTCTTGCCGGCGGCACTTACTCGGACAGCAAGGGGTACTTTGTCAATCCGACCATTGTCCTAAGTAAGGACCCCAAGGACCGCATCATGACCGAGGAGATTTTCGGCCCTGTTCTATCGATCTATGTGTACAAGGAGTCTGACCTCCTAGAGACCATGAAGCTTGTGCACACCTCAACAAAGTTTGCTTTAACCGGAGCAGTATTCGGCCAAGACGAGTAGGAAGACTCCTTGAAAAAGGTTACATCTGACTCATAACATTTGCTTTCAGGGACTTCGTCAAGTGCGCCCTTCAGGAGTTCAAAATGGCCGCTGGAAACTTCTACATCAATGACAAGTCCACCGGATCTGTGGTGGGTCAGCAGCCATTCGGCGGTGGTCGAATGTCCGGCACAAATGACAAGGCCGGAGGACCTCATTACATTCTGCGCTGGACCTCTCCGCAATCCATCAAGGAGACATTTGTACCCCTACGTGACGTTAACTACCCATACATGTGCGAATAAGCTGGATGAATTGGGATGTGAATGGGGAGTGGGAAGGTGATTAGGAGAAGCAGAACAGACAGGAATCTCATATAACTACTAACTATATAAATATATATAAATGTATTTTGTTGAAATATTTTTAAACACCACCCCAAGCCCCGACCCCGTAACAACTATGTAGTTCACATAGCAACGCACTCTATGAATCTCGAAAAAACCCATGAGAATGCCTCGAAAAAGTTGTAAATTGATATGCTGATACCTTTCGAACCACAAACACACCGTGACATCGATATTTTAAATGAATACTATATAATATCATTATTTTAAAGTACGATTTATACACAATGTGATTATTTAATTATATGTTTTTTAATTACATGGTCCTCCTTTTGTTTTTATCTGTAATCTGTAAAGATATTATTTGTATACGGTTAGACCCTTTCCAGTTACGAACTACATAATGCGCGTCTATGTACACACCTATGTATGTGAAAGCAAACACTTGACAATACATTTTGATTACTAGATGTGAAAGATCATGAAGAGATAAAGTGAAACCTAGTTACATATACCGTAAGCATCAAATTCATATTAATAAATATTTAAATTCCAAAACGATTGTCTAAAAAGGGGTAATTAAGGCTTTATTATTTTTGCATATTATGAGCAAGGACTATATGTGGCCCGAATGCATTTTATTTATATTCCCTGAAAATTTTAACGAAATCCAAAGTCAAATGTAGATATAAAAGTGTAATGATTAGATACACATCCTAATCATATCAAGTTAAATAATTGATTTTAAGAACTGTTCCCTTGAAGGGGCATTCGACTTGCAGATCTCACACTTAGATCTATATATATATGTTTAACCACTCAGAAATGCACTTAGCTGTTTCTTACTTCTGTCCTTCCTTCCCTTGCAGCTTCATCAATGGACACTATTTTACTTAATCTTTAACGGACATTTCTGATCTTAACTATTAAACCCTTTGATAACATTTGGGAAAGCTTTAAAATTCACCCTTTATAATTCAAACTTTCCGAGTGACAACTTCAAAAGACTCAGTACGCTTAGCCGCATTTTTATCTAAAATCAAAACTACAGCCGATTCAGTTATTTAAAAATACATATATTTCTTTCAATTTTAAGTTCATCTTAAGTTGAACTAAAATTATTGTTTGTCCGATCGACAAATTAGCGATTTAATCTTTTACATATTGAAGTTTTGATGCGATCTTACACTCTTACATATGAGAACCAAAAACTGGTTATCACCACAAAATAACGGAAAATGTCTTAAACACTAATCGAAATAGTCAATCCTTCGTTTAACCTAAGCGTCTGAAAAATCCTTTGGGTTTTGTGTTTGATTTTCAATAAACCTTTTTAGAATAATGATTAACAATGATTTGATAGATAATACAAATAAAATGTATTTGGTTTAAAAGGTTTATAAAAAGTCAGCAAAGTTATTGGTAACATCCAGATCGATCAGACAAAGAAAGGGTTTCATCCGTTACAGTCATAAGAACCATTATTTAAAGGGAGAAAAGATGGCTACAAAAGTTAGAAGTACGGACTCCTCAAGTCAAAGCAAGTGTTTGGAAAATGTCTACCAGTTGGCAGAGTTATTGCATAAAGAAACTATTCTACATACATAGTTACTGCTTGCTTACTGACTAAACGTATCCGTTAGAATATTGATTATTTCATAATGTATGTATAAATCTAGTCAAATTTTATAGAATTGACGCCTATGTCGATTTGGCCGCCTCGATAGCTGCCGCGCTTCTTCTTAGTCTTCTCGTGTTTGAAGGACTTGCCGCGCGTGTGCTTCAGGTCTTTGTTGGCTCGCTCGCCCCAAGAGCCGGCAGCGTTTTTCTAACGTGGTTTACAAATAATATAAACATGTTAATTCGATAAAATAACTGCATCTAGGGTGTGTGTGTGTGTTTATGGGTGGGTGGCACTAACTAAACTATATCTAATTGTCGAACGTGATCTTCTTGTTTGGCTTTGGCGCCGACGAGTCGAAGGATTTGTTGCCGAATCCACCGCCACGGCCGCCTCCACGACCACCACCTCCCCGTCCACCACCTCCACGACCGCCGCCTCCGCGTCCACCGAAGCCGCCACCGCCTCCACGGCCGCCACCTCCACGTCCACCAAAGCCACCACCGCCTCCTCGACCGCCACCGCCTCGTCCTCCTCGATGGTTGTTGTCAAAGCCTCCAAAGCTCTTGCGATCGCCCATCTTCTTGAAGCCGCCTCCTTCTCCGCCATCGCCGTTCTTGTTGGACTCCCAAGTGCTGCGATCTGGACGTCCGGAGAATCCGGAGCCACCCCTACCGCCGCGTCCGTTATGTTTCTTGAAACCGCTATCCTGGAAGGGAGAGAAACGCCAAAAGGGGCGAACCACAAATTAGCAACGATTTGAAATGCATGTTCAAAATAGATCAGGTAAGTGCCACAAATGATTTGAGTTTTCTGCACGGCGCATCTTGCTAATTTGTGTGTCCGCCTCTTATCAGCCTCTCAGATATCCCCATCCCCATCCCGGTTGCTCCTACGCTCTTCCAATACACACACACCCACAGTCGCGACTCAAATCCATTGCGGCACTCACCTTTGCTTCGAAGGACATATCCTGGACACGGGAGTCCACTATCACATCCTCGGTGCGAACCCGCCGGAATGGTGACCGTCGGCCACTTCCCCCTCCGCTATTATTGAACTTATTGTTACGGTTATAATTGTTGTTGGGTGTGGAGTTAAAATCATTCTGCTGCGAAAGGCAAACAAGGGAAATATTAACTTCCTGGACAGGATTCAGACAGGTGTAAAAATTCTACTGTGTTCCCTAGTATAGGGCATTATTTTTTAGTTGACTATCTGTTAATATAAATTTATTGTTAATTATCTATTGATTTTGAGAACAAATGTTCAAAGCTGAAGATGTTGTTGTAACGCAGTCGTTAGCTTTTTAGAATACTTCTGAGTGTTCGCTTAAAATGTGTTAAAAGTTTAGGTTCTCCACTATAAGTTAGAAAAGCCCAGTTTGTGCATCACTATTACTTAACGCTCTATAAAGTACCCCGACTCACCTGTTGATCTCCCGATTTGACAAAATTGTTGTACTTTTTGTTTGGAGTGGCCTCGTCCTGGTCACCCCCACTGAACTTGCGCTTTTGACCGGGCTTTGCGTCACCATTGGCCACCGCCTGGGGCTTGACCTCGCCAGACTCTTCGCCAGAGTCACTGTCGTCGCTGCTGCTATCTCCCTTTTTGGTTGGAACAGCCGTCTTTTTGACAGCTGGTTTCACCGCTGGTGTTTCGTCGTCGCTAGAATCCTCACTGCTAGAGGAGGCAGCCTTGACCGGAGTTTTGGCAGCAGCTGCCTTTGCAGGCTTTTCGTCCTCAGAGCTGTCGCTATCCTCCGAAGAGTCTTCGGAATCGGCTTTCTTAGCGGGAGTAGCCTTTGCAACAGGTTTGGCAGTCGGCTTCTTAGGAGCCTCCTCCTCATCAGAGTCGCTGTCTTCGCTGGATGAGGCAGCCTTCTTGGCTGGAGCTGGTTTTGGTGGAGCAGCAGATTTCTTGGGAGCTTCGTCTTCCGAGGAACTGTCTTCGCTAGATGAAGCTGCCTTCTTGGCCGGAGTAGCCTTAACGGGTGCGGCCTTTGCAGGTGTTGCTTTTTTGGGAGCCTCGTCTTCCGAGGAACTGTCTTCACTGGAGCTCTCTGCCTTTTTAGGAGCAGCCTTGGCCTGAGTCGCCTTTGCAGGAGCTGCGTTTTTCTTCGGTGCCTCGTCTTCTGAGGAACTGTTGTCACTGGAAGAAGCCGCCTTCTTGGCAGGTGCAGCCTTGGCCGGCGCCTTCACTGCGGGTTTCTCATCATCGGAGTCGCTGTCCTCGCTGCTAGAAGCTGCAGGCTTCGCAGCGGGCTGGACCGCCGGCTTTTTGGCGGCTGGCTCGTCGTCGGAATCGCTGTCCTCGCTAGAGGATGCGGCCTTTTTGACTGGTGCTGCCTTAGCTGCAGGCTTGGCGGCGGGTTTAGCCTCCTCCTCTGAGCTACTGTCCTCGCTGCTGGAGGCGGCTTTCTTGGCTTGGGCAGCTTTAGCAGGTGTGGCCTTTACAGCAGGTTTTGCATCATTTTCATCGGAGCTGCTTTCCTCGCTACTGGAGTCGGCCTTCTTTGCGGCAGAAACTAGCTTGGCTGGAGTGGCCTTTACTGGAGCTGCTGATTTCTTGGGAGCCTCGTCTTCTGAGGAGCTGTCGTCACTGGATGAAGCCGCCTTCTTTGCAGGGGCAGCCTTGGCCGGAGCCTTCACAGCAGGCTTCTCATCATCAGAGTCGCTGTCATCGCTGGAGGATGCGGCCTTCTTGACAGGGGTTGCCTTGGCTGCAGGCTTGGCGGTGGGTATAGCCTCCTCCTCCGAGCTGCTGTCCTCGCTGCTAGAAGAAGCTGCCTTCTTAGCGGCCTTACCGTTTGTTAGAGGAGCTGCTGGCTTCTTTGGCGCCGCTTCTGCCTCAGAGTCCGAATCGCTGTCATCGCTGCTGTCCGCCGTCGTCGCCTTGATTGCCGGGATCTTGGTGGTGCTCTTCGTTTGATAAAACTGCAAAATCTCACTTAGCTTTGGAGTGTTTTTGGCTACATTGGCCTGTAAGTTGGAAGGAGGAAATGTTGTTGGTTAGCGAACACGTGGTCACAGAGGTATTTGTAAACTTGCAGGTGAGCAGCTCAAGGAGCTACCGGTACACAGAACAGGTAGCCGTCTTAGCGCCTTTGAACCCAGGATGAATATGTCACACATTTTCGGTGCAATAGAATTGAAAAATTGCATTTGCCGCCTTACACTGAAACTTACCGCCTTCGTCTTTTGTTGGAAAACCTTGGCTAGGTTCTTGTCCTTAGATTGCAGGTACTCCAAAACGATTGCATCGGTTATTTTTAGCAGATCCGTCATGATTGTTCAAACTAATTTACTATATTTTCCGGTCGCAATTAATTCCTAGCCGCACGCTCGTTCACACTAAAAAGAATGCGCACACACACGTGTTTTGACTTTTAGACTGTATGGCAACGCATGCTTACTGCCAAGGTCTGGCCATGCTGCTCTACGTGGCTTCAAACCGCTATTCAACACTATAAGTACGGTAAGCACACGTTTTACGATACCAACTATGAAAGAGGAATAACTTTCAATATGGCCTAAATGTTTCTATTACTGGCCTGTTAAAAAAAACCATAATTTATAATCCTCTAATATTTTTTAAGGCATTAATTAAACTTAATTATATTATTCATTGTTAGTTACGTGATAAAACCATTTTAGCTCTATACAATGTACAGTAATATATTCTAAAATTGTAGTAAACAGAACAAGATGTTACTACCATAAGTATTTATTTAAAAAAATTTTAGAAAGGGTTATTGTTATGGAACAGAGGGCATAGTCTGGAAAACCTCAACCCATCTGGAATTCAATCGTTCATAAAGCACTTTAAAAAATTTGAATATAACAATATTATTGTTATCAAAACATGAGTAACTTTAACCAAATACTAGAGGAATATGTAAAATAAATTAGCTCTGACCCTTGTATTTATTGAAATGATGAACATGGGTAATATGACCTTATATGACTGTAAATATTCGGGATATTTAGGCGCTCCACTTACGGTCACACTGCGGGGGAGGCAAAGGGAAGAAATGGTCGTATTTTTGTTTGTTATTCAATTGAGTTGCGTTTGTATCTAAAATAAATCAAAAACAGCCTGCGGGTAGGAGTATATTTTGTTAGACGTTTATCTAGATTTGGCAGGGAAGAGTGGTCCAGCCCGGCAATGGCTGCCGAGCCGGTACCCCAGATCCTGCGACTGAACGACGATTGTTTGGACGAGATTTTCGATCGCCTGCAGGACCTGCCAACAGAAGTTTCCTTCGCGAGGAGCTGCCAGCGGTTTCGACAAATTTGCGTAGCCAAATGGCGCACCTGTCGTGCATACGAGCAACTTGATCTGGACAAGTGGCGGGAAATGCTTCCCAACTATGAAGATCTGGTCTACTTCCTCACCCAGATGCGACTGCACATAAGGGAAATGTGTGTCTCCAGTTGCCTTTGTGCTCTAATAAAAGATTTGGATGAAATGCACATTACGGAGCTGCCATTGGTGTTTAGTTTCTACTATGATGCTGAGGACGTAGACTGCTATCCCTCGAACAGGAGCATTCGGAAGCTGGCTCAGTTGTTGCCGGGATTGCGAAAGCTGCGTCTCACCACGCCCATTGACGGGCGGTACCTGTCTCACTTCCGACATCTGCAGGAACTCCATCTCTACGAAGATCAACACAAGGCGTATGAGCTGCAACAAGAGTATCTGGACGAAGTGTGCCAGTAAGTTGGGCTCTACAGCTACCAAAAGTTTCACAGCTAACTTTTCACTTGGCCTACAGCAAAATGCATGATCTTCGGGTTCTGGATATTCGGACATACGACATGATCAGCAAACTTCAGCTGGGAAACTGCCTGCAGAGCCTAAGGAGCCTCGTCGTATTGAAGCTAAATCTTGCTACATTAAAGCCCATTCTGCCTGCCGTTCTAGAGCTGCCCTCCCTGAAGAAACTAGTAGTCCTGCTGGACAACGAGTGGCACATACCGCCACTGGTCAGTCCAGATAACTACGACCACAAGATTCGCGAGGTCAGCGAGTTTTACGAGATCATGGAGAGAAAAGCCAAGGATATAGTTGGCTTTGCCGTCGACGGGTATTACATGCCACTAGAACCAGGGTGGGATGAAAAGCTGCCCATATGGACGCATCGCAGGCTAAAGTGCTTGGCCATTTGCAGCTGGACCCATCACGCAGACTACCTAGAACGCTATACCTGTATGACAGACTTACAGCTGCTGTGCCTTCGCAATTGGAACGAACTGAGCGACGATATTCTCCTTAGATTTGTGGAGCTCTGTCCTAAGCTGGAACATCTTGACGTGTCTTACTGCCGCGATCTGACGCCAAATTTTCTACCCCGCGCCCTGAGTGTTCTTACACAGCGAGAACCATACAAACAGAAGTCGGGATTTGCACGGTCGCTTCCTCTACAGCTTTACTACGATCTATGTGGCTTCGAGGATTTTGTGGATAAAGGGGTAGCTATTAACTAATATTGATCTATTAGTGCCTAATATGTATCCTCTGCAGAATCTCAGAAACTCTCCGGAATATCGTGGATATATTGTTTTTACAGCCGACTTTCCCGTCGACTCGGAACGAGGTCTAAGCTTTGTAGACCGCGGCTATCAATTTGAATTTGACTGCTCTTTGAATATGTAAATATACAACCTAAAATTATATAAGTATTTATTATTAAATATTATGTTGCACAAAAAATGTTAATTATTTTCATTCTGAAATAAATTAATTAGTTATCAAAAAAGTTTCACTAAAAGGCACCTTTGAACGTTCATATGTAAATGTTTAATATATTAATTTCAGTATTCTAACACTTATGCCCTTTTCCAGCAGTGTCAGATGTGCCTAGAATTTTCGATCTATTTTAAAGCGAAAAACCAGGCAATTGTCACATAAGAAGATAGTTTTCCTCGACCTATATAATTTAACTGCAGTTATAATCTAATTATTTTTGCTTTTGTGGTAAGATTAAATCATTCCGATGCATGGCTTCTGACGGCAGAAGAAAGAGAAATAACCATCAGGAGGCTTGAGGAAAGTATATTTCGTTTAAAGGACATAAGCTGTTATAGAAAGTTTACCAGTTTCTAGCTGAACTTGAATTTAAGAACTTTCTCTTTAATTTTTAGCATTTTTTTTATCATCATTTTTGTAATAGTTTTACTATGTTAAACAAGAGCGACATAAGTGCGTATACGGAAGTGTATTTTACATTTTTGTTTGAAGTTTGCAATGGAGTAAATATGTCTGACCCGATAAAGTATATATTTACATAAGAAAAGTCCATTTGAATCATCCTTTAAATATGCGTACGCAGGTCGTTTATAACCTTTACTTTTTTCTCTTAATAATTATCAGGTTAAGCTTTTAGTGTTTTTCGAAAGTTGGCTTCCAAATTTGTCGTTTTAAGGCGATTTATTTATTATAGTCTCGTCAAAGATATCTACAAGTAAATGTATATTGTGCTTCTTTAAAAGTATATACTCTTTTCATAGCCCGTAACCCAACTATTCAAAAATTGGGATTTAAATAGTTGCAAGAATGCCCCCAATGAAATATTCACTGTGAATGGCGAATTCAAAACATATGATTTTCTTTAACTAACAGGTATTATTCAGAACTGAGAGGTATAATACGTTGAGCAGACGAGTATTTTTTAATTAAATAAATAAATCGGATAAAACTAATGCCTTCTTCAAATCTTAAGTTATCCTTAAAATAATGTAATGTGGTTTAACCGACATTCGTCGATCTTGTCTTGTCTTGTCTTGACTAACATACATATGTATGTACAGATGTATATACATACATACATTGTATGTAGATTGATCGACGGTGAAAATGAATAGACAACGAAACCAATTTAAGCGTGGACAAAACTTTTCCTCGGAGGAAGAGTTTTTGCTCATAACTTTGGCTGCAGAGCACCGAAAGGTCTTCGAAAATAAGAAATGTGATGCCGTAACTTGGAGGGAAAAGGAGTTGGCGTGGAATAATCTGGCGACCATCTACTCGAGCACGTCCGGGGTTAAGCGCAGTGGTAACAGCTTAAGAGCCAAATATGAAAGCTTAAAGAAGAAACTTAAAGCTGGACTTCCCTACGGAGAGCCTCCAACAAGACCAACCATAACCGAAAAACTTCAAGAAGCACTTGGAGATGAAGAATCGGGTGGTGAAAATTCCGACAACGATTGTAAGTAATTTTTTATGGAGTCAAAGGTGATGTTTTTTAATCATAATTTTCTGCAGGTATTATAAATGAGTTCCAGACGGAGGATCTTTCTGAACCTTTTGGAGATATAATCGAGTTCAATGAAGATAACTCTAATGATAATGTGACTTCCAAATCTAGTGATCCGATAAACCTTGAGGCTGAGTTGATTCCGCCACCGACGAGTCCACCTCGAAAGTCACAGCGCCAAGAAACAGATTTAGGCATTCTAATTCAGACGGAAAAACTGCGTCTTATCAGAGTACAGCGCAAATTCCAAGAACAGGAGAATGTAAGAGCCCAGGAAAGGCACCGGGTGGAAATGGAAACCTTAAGTGCGAAGCGGGAGTTGCTTTACTTGGAAATCGCTGAAAAGAAATTGAAATTGAATGTAAGCAATGAAAACTTATTGCAAATTTGAACTATTTCTAATAATATTTTTTTGCAGGACTCTCCGAAGGAATAATGTCCTTTAATATTATGTAGTTTTAATAAAAATTTTCAACTATTATCATAGACAATATATAAAGAAAATATTCCTTTTCTTGATCGAATTCAAATTTGGGTAATTTTAATGCTTTATATTTGTTTTGAAAACCATTAAGCATTTTATTTAGAATATCTTCAGGTTGTTTGAAAGTTGAAAAGTATGATATTTTAAATAAAAGATTTTATGGCGCTGAAAATTTTTCGAATTTTGTTTCTGAAAATATTCAAAATAAAACTCATTTTATGTATATATATTTATGCATTTTAATAATTTTTGGCCTACCATAATACATATGTATATGTACATATGTACATATGTATATTTATGCATTTTAATAATGGTCGAAGTAAAAATTGTTTGTAAATTATTTTGAAAATCCGAATTTTTGGCCTCCCATAATACACTTTATCTTTTCTCCCGCTATATTCCATGTAAAGGAAAAATGTAATTTTATATTTGGTTGAAAAGGAAATCTTCTTAAGATAAAAACATTTTTAGCAATAGGGAAATCTTTTTTTCGATGCAACGGCCACACTAATCAAATGTTTCGATATTTTCACATGTTTATATTTACTATTTCATTGTGCAATAAATTCTAGCTAATTGAGAGGAGTTCTCGAGAGAGATGAGTGAGGGAAAGCAACAGAGTCCGGGCGATGGCATCCGGTCCATGAGGAGCACAGGAGTCTTCCGACTAATTAACTTTGAGTTATACACGAAACCGGTAGGGATTCAGTCGAAATTTTGGATTATAACGCCTATTTTATACTCAATTCCACCCCCCAGAACAAAATTATCATGGGTCTGGGACTGACCGCTTTTGCTGGGGTGTTCGGTTACATAGCCTACATGCGGTACAAGTACGAGAGCCTGGGATACTATGTGGCGGTGCAGGAGAACGGGCAAGAGAAATTCATCAAGAAGAAATCAAATTGGGAGCAGTAAATCCAGCTCCGGAAAAATGTCTTGGTGGAAACATCTTTATTTACTCGGTAGCACAATTTGGTACATAAATTTCTTTTGTATGGGAGTTACAGTTTGCTTTGCCAAAAATAGTTAAGAAATCACAATAGTAGAAAAATGTTTTTAACTAGAAACTTATTCCGGCAAATGGGGCCGCAAATGAGCGTTAAACAGCAGGAAGGGACTGACAGGTGGTGAAAATGAAGTGGAGCTGAGAAGAGGTGGTGTATCACAATTACAAGAGCAATTACTCCTCGCATCCTTATTTCTTCTCGCCGCCGCCGTTGTAATCGCTACAATCGTCCTCCTAGGCAGACAACTTGAGAGCCTTGAGCTCGTCCAGGTACTGTGCTTCCATCTTAATCTTGTTTACTTGGTTCAGCTCCAGGTTCTCGCCCTGGCTGCGACGTGCCTTAAGCTTCTTGATGTCGGACAGCTTTTTTGCGACGCTGCGAATTTTGCGTTCCTTTTCGCTGATGTTTTGGCCGTTGGCCTGGGCGTGTCCTTGATGATTATTTTGATGATCGGCGGCGTTATCCTGCTGGTACTTTTGTCTAGGAGTGGTCTGCTGCCTCCGCTCCTCTCCAGCCACAGAAATGGGCGACTGACGAGCACCCTGGGCATCTGATTCGGCCACCACGGGTGGTAAAGAATCTGCATCGCCGCCGTTCACGATGTTGACATCCTTCCTGGCGCTCCGCTGTTTGTTCTTGTTATTCCTTTTGTTCCCATTGGCACCACCTGGAGGCGGAGTAGAAATGCAAACAGCAATTAGCAAACACACAGCCGAGCCTACTTACGGCCGCGTCAATCTCTAATCCTAATGGCATTCTAAAACATAATGTGTGTGGAAGGGATGAAAGGAGCTCACAAGCTGCGTGAATCTGTTAACCTAGTAGCGTTTGTGCTGGTAGGGCCGATACCGCCGGTTAGGGCGACTGGTCGAGGAACCCGTAGACGACGAACCCTCTCGTCCATTGCCTACCACCAGCTGACACTGGCCCTGTTCGCTCCGGCGCATAATGGGATTGTCCAGGTCGTACTGCCTGTGCCAAAACTTCCGCGTCGTATTACCTGCTGCTGCTGCCGGGGCCAGTCCTGGAATACTTGGCTGGGGCAAATACTTTTCCGGATTCTTGCCCTCCTTCAGCAACCGCAGATGGGGCGGTGTGTAGGCCTTCTTGCTGGCTTCTGGCTGACTGGACTTGATGCCCTCGTGTTTGGCTTTGGTGATCTTGGGTTCGCTGAACGTCTTGTCCGCAAACTGCTGCCATTCGATGCCCAGCAATTCCTGGCCCTGAGGCCACATGGTCTCGTGAAGCAGGGCTCCCGAGTAGTGATACACCTTAAACCTGTAGGACGGTTATTTTTATTGCATGAACATGAAAATCATTTTACTTACCCATTGCTAATACGGAGCCGGGGTGCCGTGGTGGCCGTAACGAACCACTCCCCGTTGGGATGCCACTCAAAAACCGTGGTATCGGCACACTTGAGATTTGCTATCCTCTCGCGCTTGGACACATCCCATACCTCGACGGCTCCTGGCAGATTGCCAAATCCGGCGAGCACTATGAGGTTGCCAAACGGATTGAAGTAGGCGCAGTTTCGCGGACCCTCGCCAAAGTCGAACACCACATCGCACTTGAGGTTGTAGAGTGCCGCCTTGGAGGGCATAAAACCGTAGACGACTACAAACTCGGTTGCCTTGGGGCTCCACTTAACACAGTGAACCGGTCCCTCCTTGGAGAGGGGCACTGAGCAGGTGTCGCCCTTGGTGGCCATGAAGTGCACAGCCTGGTTGCCGTAGTAGGAGGCTCCGCTCTTATCCACTTCTGTGCTGGTCAGGAGCAGCAGACCACTGCCCCGCTTGTTCCACAGCATCTCGACTCGGTCCGCCTGGAAGAAACTCTTGCAAGCTACGGTCTGGTTCTGGCCCAGTGCAGGGTACTTATAAAGCTTGCACATGGATGGAGCGCCTTTAGCGCCCGGCGTATAGAAGGCCAGGAACGGGGGACAGTTCCCGGGTCCCAGCGATAGCATTCCGCCGCGGCTACCTCCGATCTTACGCGACGTAGAGGCAAATCCCTTGTCTGCTCCCTCACCGAGGTCATAGAAGAGCGCCTCGCCACCGACGACCAGGGCAAAGATAGACTCGTCCGCCGACCAGGAGGGCTGCCAGTCTGTCTGGTTCTTCTGGACGATGGCGAACACCTCGGCGCCGGTGGCCACCTCGTAGACGAGCAGGTTGGGCGATCCCTCCGGCCGGTCCTTGGTGATGGCATAGAGCTCCCAGGTGCACAAATAGCTGCCACGTGGCGAGAATTGAAGGTAGAAGGCCTTAGGCCTAGGCAAAATGCATTTAACCGGCCAGCTGGCAGAGCTATCTTGGCTAGCTTGGAGTACTTTGACCTCCTGGCCGTTGGAATAGGCGAAGTACCGGCCGTCAGAGCTGAAGCAGATCGAGCGAGAGCTCTTCGTCTCCTCGCGGGGCAGATGGGGCTTGTGCTCGTAGGGCTGCTTCGAGCCCGCTGAAGACCACAATTCCACGCCCACGCTGGAGCGAACTGTGGAGAAGAATCGAAAAGTGGACCCGATTAGCAGGTGGGAACACGAGGTCGCGGGGTATTGGCCTTAACCCGCTTGCACCGGTCAGAAAAGTGTCTGCTTTCGACGGTCCACGATGTAAGCGAAGTTTTGAAAACCAATTGGTCAGGATTTTATCCGGATTATACTCACTGGCAAGGGTAGGAACAACCAGATCCGCAGCTGCAGCCATTGTCTTCCAATCTCACACGCACACACACACAGAGGAACACGCACTTCGATGTTGTTGCTATTGCTGTTACTGTTGTTGTTGTCGCTGCAGTCAGTGTTGGTCAACAGATTGTATGCTTGATTTGGTCACACACGGTTGCCGTATATGGGGTGTATCGATAAACGATAGTCAACATGCATTGGCGCCACAACGTCACGTTTACAATCAACCAAACCAAACCAAACGTATTTAGAACTGCAACAAAATTTCTGCTCCACGTGAATTTAAAAACATTTTAGTACTAACAATTTTGGAATGGAGACGTCAGGGACTTCGACTGGCATACTCAAAGGTGTGTTGATAATTTAAATTTTTTTCCGCCACAATTTCATTTTAAAAGTATGATATTACAATGGCGTTCTTATTTATTAAAGGAATGATTGCAGCTCTGCGTGAAGCGAACCTACGTCAATTTTTCTTGGTTGAGGGACTGAAACTATAACTTATATAATATTTTATAATAATAATAATAATATTTAGGTGCTTTATAAAGCTAAATATTAAATATGTAACGTTGTTTATAATTAATAATAATGTGATCTATAATATTATTCAAAAATTTATTATATTTTAATTTTTAACAAGATTTTTAACGATAGCTTTGACAACCAACAAACATTGCTATGTATGCTATGTAAATACTCGTTAAATAAATCGGCTTTCATACATAAGCTTGTTTACAAATTTCGTCGTGAAGCTAACGAATATTACAATTACTAGGACTATGCATATAAAGTTGCGTTTTACTTCATTGTTAATTATCGGTAACAATAGTGATCAATAAATTTTTGGTAAAAATTTTGTAGCATCTTTTGACATCAAGCAACACTGCTCAAACGATATTTGCGAGTTTTTTTTTCCAATAGAAATTTTTTTCTAATTATGAAAATGTCGAGTTTTATACCCACAAGCTACGATTGGCGGACATCGTTGCTCTTCTGCTTTCTTCAAAAGAAAACTGCTGTGGAAGCTCAAAAAATGCTACGAAGTTGCCAAGCCGGGTTAAAAAAATTCCGGAGCGGTGAATTTGAGTTGAGAATAAAGAGCGAGAAAGACCACCATAAAAGTTTCAGGACAATGAATTGCAGGCGATGCTTGACCAGGACGATGGCTAAACACAAAAACAGTTGAATGTTGACCAGAGCACCTTTGGAAGACGCCGCAAAGCCATGGGAAATAAATAAATCTCCAAAGTTGTAAAAAAAACGCAGTTTCATATGCATAAACCTATGTATTGGTTTCTTTTGATCACATGGTTGTAATAATAAATAATATTAAAGATATGAGCACGACTGAAATCGAACACTTCGTGTTAAAACATGTAGATTCTAAAACACCGTAGTAGCATAAAACACCACAGTCCAGTAATATTTTCAAATAGGAATAATTTTTGAAATTGGATTAATCCACTCTAATATAGAAAAGAACTTGAGAACAAGTCTTCAACAACTGTAAACATCAAAAGATGGCCTTAAATATTTCGAAATGAAGTTTTAACACAGAGTTACATTCTTTATTCAACAAATACTTTCAGTTTAGAAACTAAAGCTAAGTACAATTTAAAACTAACTAACGGATTTGGCAACTAAGTATACGAAAATTCTAGTAATGCTAGCAATATAATGCGCTTAGATTGGAAAAAGAAGTGTATAGTTAACACACATTAGATTGTGAACTTACATTCTTTGTTTTTCAGTGTTACACTCAATGAATTCATTTTAAGATTATAAAATGCATATAACCCTCACTTTTTAGATTTAATTAACTACTAAATTACATGAGAAACTCATGGATTTGTTATAGTTTGTTAATTAACCTATTTCAGAAAATGAATCTTAACCCATCAAATACTACATTATAAGCTGATAAAGATGGTCCTAAACAATTTAAGTGAGCGGTATATGGTAACAGCAAATCGGGGACATTTAAAATATTTAACTTATAGATCACACGAGTTTCTGCTTTCAGGTTACCTAAGCTTTCATTATCCGCCACTTCAACGGTAGAGCCGCACCTGCTGCTTGAGATCCTGATCGCTAATACGATCCTGGAGATTCAGTTCCGCCTCCTGTTTGCGTAGGAGGTCGAATATGGCTGCCAGCTGCTCCCGCTCAATTCGTCGTTCCTCCTCGATCTGACTTGGAGTCAGGGTCTTCTCCATCTTGTTTTGGAGTCTCTTGGCCTTGAGCTGGCCCATCAGGTGGTTATAGTTGTGGCCGGGTAGCTGTTCCTCGATGAACTCTACTTCGCTTTCAGTGGAGTTCTCTTCGTATGCCTCGTCGTCGTCGGTCTCTTCACCCTGGGGAGTTCTCGACTCTGAATCCTCCTCATCGCGTGGCTCGTCAGCTCCCAGGCCTTCGTCCTCCAGTTCCTACAAATAAGGGAAGAAAATAATTCCAGCAAAAAACCTACTTGTTTTGTCAACACCCACGGTTTTGTCCTTGAAGAAGTTGGCGAAATAAAGGGCAATTAAAACGCACAAGAGCAAGGTTACCAATGCTAACGTATAGTGCCCTGGTAATCCAAGAAAGAGGACATCCAGAGAGGGAAATATATCGTGCATTGCAATTTTCGTAATGTTATTTGTTATGATTTACTCCGCTTTCCTTGTTTTCTTTTGGTTGCAGTGTGACCGCAGACTGTAAGTTAAAAATTACCAATCGGCGCTGTCTTTTTGAATACTTGTTGAAAGACCCCAGCTATATGATTTCGCATTTCATTAGTTTTTGGCTTATATTTAAATAATAATTTCCAATGGATTATTCCAACTACTACTAGTTATTCAATTAATTTAATGTATTTTTTTTTTACTAAACAGTACACACATTTATAGACCAATCTTAGTACGTCCTTTTAAATAATTTCTGTGTAACTACACTTTCTGTGTAGAATCTTAGAATTTCTAAATAGGTTTTCTAAGTTACTAAAAAATTATATAAATAGGTATAGAGACCAGTGATATTTTTAAAATGTTTTAATATCAATTAAATTCTTCAAAAATAACACCGTTTAATAAATATTGGTTATGACTATTGGCTTATATTCATTGCAGATGTGTCGGAGCTCACATCGGCTATGTGGAATGATGCATCTTCGGCGGGCATATCATCCTCATCGGTGTACAATCGACGAAGACGCTCCTTATAACTTTTAAAAAGTAAAAATATTATTAGTAAAAGTAATTATGATATGATTAATTTATCTCACAGTTCGCTATCCGGATTATTTGCCTGATTGCGGCACTTATCCAGCTTTTTCTCGATTGCCTTTACCTTGTCTCGATCCGGTTGCTGATATTGCTTCACCATAATACGGATTTCTGTCAGGAATGACCGTTGAAGTTGTAAAAGGAAGTATAAAACAAAAACTTACTTCTAACGGCATCTATGAGTCCCGGCAACTTATCCCTGGCAGAAACGAATAGAAGATCCGTCACATAACTATCGAGATTCTCTTGCTCTCTACTGGCAGCATGAAGAACAGCAGCCAATGCAATCTGCGAGGGCGTGTGAAGAAGACATGCATCCGTGTAAAAAGTGGAATCAATGAAGCTATCAATATGCGGGCGCAAACGTTCCGGATTTGGCATATTACTGCGAGTCTTAAATAAACCAAAGGTCTATTGTCTGAAAATTATAGTCAGGTAAAGCACTCACTTTTATATCTATTAGGAAACCCTCAATGGGTCTGAATGGATTGTGTATAGTGAGGTAGTAGTTGAGCTGACCAATGAGTAGCAATTCATTCGATAAAACTATATCTGTAGCCTTATTCCTATCACCTTTGATGTTGTTAACGAATTGGTTTATAGACACATTGAACTCCTCCACTTTGCAGGCTACAAACACACACGTGGCTCTGAAAGTATTAATTTAAAAGCAAATTGTTTCAAAAGGAATTTTGGTATTCTTATTGGTAACCCTACATTTCCAGTCGTATTACTAAACTGTAAGACCGATTGTTAGAGAACAAAGCTTTATAAATGGCGGCAGTCTTACAGAAGTGAACATTAAAGCTGCAAATGTACCACTTCATACCGAAACGGTTTCTTAATAAGATTGTACTTACAGAATCTCCTTGGGGTGATAGTCCATTGGTGTGTTGTTGAGGTAGAAACGTTTGAAGTAGTGGAAGGCTGTGCCCACCACGCATTTGGGCATCGGCGGATCGAAGCGACGACAAAAGTCGAACAGGTAGATCTCGTACTGCTTTAGCAACAGGCGCTCCTCCGGCGGCGTGAGGAAGTGCTCCTCAAGGTCGCGGCCCTGTGCCTCCTGCTCATGGCTCTCTATGTACTTGCTGTTCTGCTCCACGCGAAAGTCCATCAGTTGGCCCTCGTTGGCGAATGTCCAGGACCTTTTTTGGGAGCTCACAGGATACATCTTGCATATCAGTCGGAGATTTATAGTAAAAACAAAAACTAAGCCGCTCAGAAAGCCGGCTAGGTGTGACCAAATGCAGAACGAAAAATATACCACTTAATATAAGGGAATAACTGTTAAGGGGATTCTAAGATAAATACTACAAAAAGATTGGAAAAAACAATTTTAGGAGTGAAAATAACAAATATTTCAAATTTATTTTACACTGGTTTATAATTGAAAAATTATTTGTCATTTTATTTAGTTGTTTTTGTTTTACATGTTCGATTTTGAGTTTATAAATTACTTGTTTTAAAGTTGGCGACATAAAGTTTTAAGTATAAAGGTATTAAAACTGAAGTGATTTTGTGTCGTCCCCAACAGATTAAAAACAGTTTATAAACTTTTAACATTTAAGATAAATATGCATATGTATATTAATTTTTTAGGATTTTTTGATAGCCTTTTTAGTTTTGAATTGGCTTGACTTTCAACAAATACAAATATTATTTGTGGCATACTTCCAGGCTCTTAAGAAGTGAAGGATGAGGTCCGAACAGACATTTACAACAAAGTAGTATTAATGGACCCAGTATTGAGCTGTTTGGTTGGTTGGTCGCATTTCGGGACGCACGTGTTGTGAATTTTTTAACATTTTAGGTGCCTGCAGCATCAGTTGGCTCAAAATTGAATTAATATTGTTTTCCTTTTGTTTTTATTGTATTGGGCTGAAGAAATTGGGTCACTTAAATCTTTAAACGGGAAAGAAGTTACGAGAAAAGCTGAGGATTTTAAACTGCAAGCAAATTCTCTTTCAATATTTTATTAGTTATATTTTCTAAAACAATTTTAAAAATATAAACTGGCAATATTTTTTTACATTTGTTTTTTTTTTTTTCATATTTTTCATGTCTTAAAGTGCCATTAAATGGTTTGGTATCTCCTAAGCTTGAAGAGCATTCAAGTGCCATGCGTATCGAGTACTTTGTATGCAGGAGCTGCCTTCTGTGGCAATAAAATTGCAATTAATTTTTATTGACAACTCTGAACTCTTGTTGCAACGTTTTGTAGCTGATCTTTCAGCGATTTCACTGCAGCAAGGTGAAGAGTCTTTTGGTGTCGAACTTTATAGCTCTCAAACGGATCGTTCAGAGCATCATTATTCGTATTTTAGAAGTAAATACAACCATTTGCTTTTAGTTTTTTAATAATTATATTTATTTTCATAATTTTTAATTATTATTTGTACTTTACTTTTTGGACTAATTAATATTAGTAAGATGTCCAGTTTTTACCCATGTACTGAAGCAAGTGGATTGAAAACTTATTTATTTTCCATCTTTATTTCGAAAGTTAGCTCTGCTGTTTAAGCCATACCCAAAATTGTCTCAGATTCGGGGCCAATTCCCTCTTAAAGATCTAACTCGCCCAGCAAGACCCCTTCGATTGTTCAATCTCCGGACTGAGAAGTTTATGCGCGTGCGCGACACACAGGCGAAATGACACACAGACGGACGAACGGAGATGAGATGAGATGGATTGCCGTCGGTGGGACAGAAGTACTGACTGACGGACTGACAGTCGGTTGGCCCGGGCTTATCGTCAGTTTCTAGTTACGGATACAAAAGGAAGCTCGGCCTGGGCGTACTTAAAATTCAATTGAATCTTGAATTATTGCATTGAATTTCATTGTTTGTAAATGCTCGCCCGCTGTGTCTGTATTGGATTGTAAACTGATTTCATTTTCTCCCTGTGCCATAGATTTATTTATTTTTCTCATTTTATTGAATGCTTCAAGTTCAGCCGTCGTAAATCGTCACAAAATGTTATGATTATTATTGGAGCAGGTATTGTATTACATAAGGTGGGTGGTCTTCGTTTTTTATAGGTCTTTTGCCGAAACAATGTATTAGTTTACTTTGTCTTAATCCCTTCTTGCCCGGGTCTTTGATATCTATGGGTAGATCTCTATCGACGACACCAATAAAACTCATTGCGAAAGTATCTGCAACAAGCATCTACAGCAGTGGCCACTTGTATCTCGGCGCCCCCCATTCCCCATCACTGTGCATAAATGCATTTTAAAAGCATTGTGAGCACGCGAGTCGATGTTTCATGCTCACGATCTCCGGTCGCCCCGATTCCCGATTCCACACCTGATCCCCTCAAAGTCTTCGATCTCCTCTTGGCATTCATCTCGCCCGGAGCATTATTTGTGCTTAGCAGCTACTGTTTGCGCAGCTAATTGTGCGTGTGTCGTGCGATTATTCAGCTTTGTATCTCACTTTGTCCGGCGCTCTCGGGGGGCGTGTTCCCAATGATACTCTCCCTAACACAGCGGCAGACGTAGAGCCATCGGATAGACGTGTGAATTGCCATTCGAGAGTTTCACAGCCAATCAAGAGAGTTATGTCTTCGTATACTCGTATATGCACACCTCGCAGTGTGAGTGATGGCTAGGCGTAAGTGGAATGAAGTGTTTAAGGAGTATAAATCAGCGAAGATGGACAGGCATCAGTAGATACACAGAATATGCATATGAGGTGGCCCCATAATGGCTGTGTTTTTCACTGGAAGGCCCTCTCAAAAGGGTTGTATATAATCAATGGGACATAAACCTTGAGTAAAAAGCGTAATGAAATTCAAGTACACTTACAAATATCCATATTGCAAAATACAGTTCATCTTAAACCATAATTTTAATCATTACATTTTTGTTTTTATGCATTTTAAAGAGCCTTTCTCAATAGAATGTTTGTATAATATAATTTACATTAAGTTTATATTTCATTTTTAGTAGTTATCTTTTAATTAAAACTTACTCATTTAGCGATATACTCACACTCTTTTTTCCAGGCCGACATCAAATCGCGTTCGTTTCCTAAGTCTTTTGTTTTGTGGTCTGTATTTGCCGTCCAAGTCTCTGCTCTCCCATTGAGCCGATATAAACTTGTGTCATCTGTCTTGGCCTGTCATAATTACATTTATATAGTCAACATCTAGGTAGCCTGGCATTTGGAAATATGTCAGCCCGCACTGTTATGTAATGAATAACGCATTGACTGGCCAGGATTTTCTGGTCCCCACTTGATGGATATACACGTGAGCACAGACGCTGTGACAGTTGAATCGAAAATACATATATACCTGTTGATATCTGCTTGTATATTGAACAAATTTCTGCTGTAGATGGTCAGGAAAAGTTTGGTCATGTGTCAATGAAATGAAGCTTTTTACGTCAGTCTCCAGAGGGAGAAAGATAGAGACTTTTATAGAAAGTTTTTAGTTTTGAGTTAAATTAAGGACAAAAACAAAGACAAGTAGATTCACTCGATTTCTACGTATTTTTATTTCATTTCTTCTTTTACATTTTGATCGCTTCTTAATTGTCTAAGAGAATAAATTATTTAAAAATAATAAAACAAACAAAAGTTAATACGAGAACAACACTTTAAATTAAGAACTCTTAAGTTATTATTATGGAATTTGTAAACATAAATTAAGAAAACAATACAAATGAAAATAAATACACATCGCAAATCAAATGACAATCATTTGCTAATTGGGCTAAGTATTACAATATTTATTAACTTAATTTATTTTTTAATTATTTACTGTCATTGAGCTAAAGTTATTTATAATAATATGGATATTTGTACATGATTTCACTGGCACCAAAATGTTCAATTCCTTTCTGCGTCTTAACCTATATATTTTGTATGGAAGTCGATGGGTTTTTTTTGGGGTAATTATTTTTCTCACAAGACTTTTTTTTAATAATAATAGAAATTCAATTTGTAAATTTCCTTGTAAAACCCATCGACTTTCTGAAGATTAAATACTTTTTACATACCTAAACCTAAAGTACTCGAAATTGTTTTGGCACTCGAACGAATTCTCTGGCAATCACGAGATGACCTCAGCCTGTCAATGTCTGTGACCTCACCAGGGTGAGATCAAGGGGCGTGGATTTTCGAACGAAGGTCGGAGACTCCCCCAAGCAATGACTCCCCGCGGCAGGCTCACTTAAACTGGGACTGTTGGAGGTGTGGGCCAGAGGACTGGCGGGATCTGGTCGCGATCTGAAGGACAGATCGATGGGTTCTTCCAGCTCCGGACTGCTGGCCGTCGGATACAAGAGCTCAGCCTTGAACTGATCCTTGAAAATGGGCAGCTGCGGAACTCCGGCGGCGAGCAGTACAGGTGGCAGGTGGCTAAATGGGGCGAAGGAGCTGTACAGCGGCTCCGAGTGGCTGCGGAAGATCTCGAGCAGCTCCTGGTGGCGCTGTCGTTGCATATCCGCATCCGGTTCCGAGGTGGCCGGAAAATTGGGATGCCCCAGTTCCAACTTAGGCAGGCTAGTGGCATTGGTGGATGATGGTGTCGGGATCTGACCGCTGAGCACGCTGGTGGTTCCATCTTCGTTGGGATCCCCCGCAGAAGATGCACCGGAGTCACTGGGCGTGTTGCTAAGGCGAGATTCGAGCTTCAATTGCCGCTGGTGATGGTGATGATGGTGGAACTTGGCCGCCTGAAGAAATGAGGGTGAGCCGGAACCCCCAACTCCCGTGCCCACTGCAGCTCCCTCGATCCTGGGCGATGTTGCGGTCGCTGACTTAATGCAAGGATTGGTCTTATCCTGGTACGTTTGCCGCGCCTGGTTACTCGCCTGCTGCAGTCGCGCCAGTTGCTCTAGACTCGCACTGCTCACCCCGCCACCTGACCCACTTCCCACCGAGCCTCCTCCGCCGATGCCCGTCGTCGTCTGCTGCTCCTGCAGCAGACAGTGGATCTTGAACCAATTGGACCGGCGACCGTAGCGGGAACCACTCTTCGACATCCCCACCAGGAGGCACTTGCGCAGCCGGCAGGCCTTGCAGGCCGTGCGGTTCTTCTTGTTGATCACGCAGTCTCCGTTGTGCTTGCAGCCCGCTATCGCCGCAATGTTGTTGTAGGTGCGGCCGAAAAAGGACTAAGAGAGAAGATTATTTCTTAGTTTTAGTTTTTAATATAATATATTACTTATTAGATTTGCTATAAGCGAAGCGATAGCAATAAAGATAGTCTTATTATGAATTAGAAATCCTGTAAAACAACTTCTCTAGTAAAGCAAATCGCTATCAGATAAACCAGTTAACACCTCTCCACCGTAAGATTTTCCCCACTCACTCTCTTGCTCCGCCTATTGAACTTGCTTCAATTACAAAATGTGCGTTAATAATTTGGCCAACTACTTGTAAGACAGCGTGAATTGTTGAGAAGAGAAAAAAAGACAACTCCTCGTGATCCATTTACTATAAGCCAGCTGATTCCCCATTGTCTTGGAGCCATGCCAACTCATGGAGCAGCCTTAGCCCCCAGATGGTTTTGAAGTTCAACTTTGAGTGGTGTTTGATGGGTGTCTGAGACTTTTGTTTCCTATTGCGCTGACTCATCTAATATGCATGTAATTTTTATTTGATTGACTGCAGTTTACAATTGTGCTCGCCGCGGGGCTTACCTAGCTCTATATATAGAGCCCGCCCCCCGACCTGCGGACTGCTCTGAATTTCGCAGACTTTTTCCCATGCCATTTGAAGGTGAGCCTTGTATTGTGGCCGCTGCGCACACGTATCTACTTATAGTCAATTAAAAATCGATTAATCTACCGAATTGAATTTTAATTACAGTAATAATGTTTTCGATTTTGCTTTGTGTAAAAAGTAAAAGCCTAAATCGAGATCATTTTTTGCACATTTTGTGCGAGGAATGTGCGAAACTGAATCTCGCGAGTTTCTCACAATTGTCGGGATTAAGTTCTATAAAATATCGATTTGCTTTGCTGATAGTAGTAGTACTTGCTAGTAGTAAACTCACCTTGCAGCCTTCGCATGTAAATGCCCCAAAATGAAAACCAGCCGCCGGCTCGCCGCACACTTTGCACAGCTGGTTCATCTGCAAAAAATAAGATATATTTTATATTCAAGTTATTTTATAAAAATGCAACATAAGTTTCAGGTTAGGCTTACTTAACAAAATCAAAGAAGATAAACCGTGATTCAAAATAGTGGTTTATGAATGAAATAAACAGACATTTCTGTCCTTAACCAACCGAAAATAAAATATTATCAAAGCAAAATTAATACTTTCTCGCTGATATAATTTTGATGCTTCCCCCATTAAAAATTGGCAAATAAATGTAAGAAGTCGTCCGAATTGATATTGCATTGTCACATATTATATAAATATATAAATATAAATCTGTTATACATATTTTAGTAACAACTTCAATATTTAGAGGACTATAAGTAATATGTTTTATAGTTTTATAAAAGTGAAATCGATTTGAAAGAGATGCTCTAACACTTTAATCTGTTTATTTATATATATATATATTATATATATTATTTGTATACTCCTACGGTTACCATTTATTGTGTTCACTTTCGCATCTTAATTTTAATGAAATTTACTTTTATCATTAAGTTAATGATTTTATTTTGTAGTTTTTTTTCTTGGACCTCTCATCTTAGAAGAAGCTGAGAGCCTAATTGAAAAAATCCAGCTCCGGCGACCTCTTCACGATTGTCCTTGTTATTGATGATGCCTTTTTTCACAGATTACTTTTCCCTGGGCTGTGTTTTTTGCTGGCGGGCAAACACATTGACTCCCGGCTCAGCTGTGATCAAGACGAGGCCATCCATGGCCGCAGCGACGACCACGAAGCCACGCCAAGAAGCGCAAGTAGAAGAAGAAGAAGAACTGCAGCGGCAAAAACAACAACATGCATAACCGATGACCCACTGCGTTTCTCTTTATTTTTATTCTTTTTTTCGGAATTTGTGTTTTTTATTTCGCTACAGGTCGTGGATAGAAATTGAGGTATGCAGCGACCGGTTTGGGCTTGCACCATCAAAGTTTCGGTCGCGGCAATGTCAGAAGAGCCTGCACCTCGTCCACCCCTCTCCTGCACATCGCCAATCCCTGCCTTTTTCTCTGTCCCTCGCTTTTCCCGGGAAGACTTTCCGTTCGTTCACACATCTAATGCAGTGTACTACAGTGACTTTTTTCGCCTGCCCATAAAGCCTAAGGTCAAGCGAAAAAGAAACAACTGAAAGCAAATAAAATATATCTGCGAAAATCTGCGAAATCTTGCGTCAACTATTTAATGAGCGTGGAGAATACGAGGGAGGGATCCATTTGGTCATGGCTATACAATATAAATTCTTAGAAACTTTTATGTGCTAAAATCAAAAATTTAAAGGCAAGTCTGGTTTCCTCATGGGTTAGGGTATGTGCAATGGGTAAACTATATAAATATTTATATATTGTATTAAACTTAATAATGCATTAAAATAATAATGACTGACACAAATATGCCCATTTGCTTATATCTCCAATTTGATTAATATTTTCTCAATTAACAAGGCCATCCATAGCCCACACCAAAATTGATCTTCAGTTTAAAAAGCATTGCGGCTGTTTTCCATTGGAATTCTTTTTATCGATAGTTCTTGCGTGTAATCTTCATTACTATTGTAAGTGATCGTAAATTTGAAAATTTAGCACGTTTAGTTTTATATTTTAAGCATCAAGAGGTGCTCACAACTTATTTATGCCTTTGGCATAACCAGTTAAATTTAAAACCAGTTATGGCTTAAAGAACCAACCTACATCGTTTGCTTTTTAGTTGTTTATTAAATTAATTATTAAATCATTTCTGCAGAAACTACCTAGCAATAAATAGTTAATTTGAAAAAGGAAAACAGCATTTCGTTAAGATTTTGGTTTAGACAGAAACTGAAGTGGCTAAGAAAGGTTTTATAAAGTATGTTTAGGTTTAAGTTTTCTGATTCATTATTAATACTGCTAACTGATATCTAAGTTGTTGTTTAAAAGTCTAAGTTAATTGAAAATTCAAATTGATTTGTATATTAGGGAAAAAGCAATGCTAATTGTATAGAATAAAACAAAAGTTATTAACTTCTAATCCGAAGACTTTTTGCTTAAATTTGTAAGATATATGTATAAGTCCCTATCCTAAGGAGTTCTTTTTACAAACCCTTATTGTTGTGAGTTTCTTTAATTCTTGTTCACCCTTTTGAGAACCAGATTTGCCCCAGAAACGATTCAACTCCCTGCCATGCCAGCCAGGTTAAGTGCTCCACTGAGGTGTCCCCATCTGGACATTTACCGGACCAGGCCTGCCAATGGCAGGGAGCTGATCCGCGAAATGCGCCCAGCAGGTGGTGGTGCCACAACGTGATGTTGCTTCTGTGATAATGGTTAGCCCCATCCGATCCCCGCCAGCTGCCAATGCCCGGCACTTTGCATATAAGCGCTCGCTAATGGACACCAAAGGTGACAGCAGAGCGTTGCTAAATTGGCAAACATTAAATTTGCACCTTCACAGCGAGCGAGCGCGAGAGACCGCGAAACCGTGACAATTTTCGGCACAGCGGTGCGCTTTTCCAGAAACCAGGAAAATCATCAAGCAGAGCTGCAGCCCAAGGAGATCTTCCATCGCTGACAAAAGCTTCGTAGTCTCAAAGGCACACAGAACCGTGATAATCTGGACTGTAAGCAGCCCAAAATGGGGGAGTTTTGGGAAAATGGATTTATAAACAACGGAAGATCAATATGGTAATGTTTTACTGTAATGACAGCAGATCCATGGGGTCAATATATAGAGGGAATTGATCAAGATGACCTCGACTTTCAGGCAGTTATATAAAAGTTAATTGTAGTAGGGCTGTAGGGCTTACACTTACATCCTGGTTAGGAAGCTGTAAATTACAAATTCAATCTTTGGTTCCTTTCAAACTGTAAATTCAACTCCTTAACAGCCGTAAAACTAGTTATTTAATAATTTAATAAATTAAATTAAATGGCTATCTTAACTTGTAGATTAGAGGTGTTCACTAAATAAACTCTCTTTACCATTCCGACTTTAAATTTCTACATATCTGGCCGTAGCTGATCCCCCAAGATAATCACAAAGACCCAAATCATTTCGATCCTTATTGAGAAAACCGAAAGAAATGCAATGGAACGGCACGCTTGAGCGATAAAGTAGCAGATTTCTATCCGGAGGCGGCATCTCAATCCTTTTAGCACTATCACGACTCTCCGACCAAGGCCACCACTCCACGTAACCGGACGCATATTTGTGGGGCTCGTTTTGGGAGCATCTATAGCAAAGCTACCCCTTCATTTCACTGAAGAGAAGTCATGAAGGAGGACATAATTCCCATGCCACCAGCTAATTAAAAGTCCTCAAGCCGAGCCCCTGCAGAAGGTGAATGTAATCTGTCCGTTTATTTGGTTCGATGGCCAGTTTGTGGGATTGTGGTGGGAATACAATGAGTAGAGGAGAGCAGTGCTGTGCAAATTAGGAGAATTCGATTTGACTATCTGTGCCGATTCCTTTCAAATTTAAGACCAGAATCCCCATTGTTCATTTCTGAGTGTTCGAGTATATCGAGCCGAGCAGATCACAACATAGGAACATAGGAAGAACGATCTTGGCTGACAGGCTTATCGATTAAGTCAAGATTAATGTTACACATTGAGCTGAAACAGACAATTAATTAGAAACCTAAACTGCTACAGAAATACTTATTGATCGTAAGCCAAGTGGATGATTATTCAGATCTAATCTCTGGAAATCTACAAAATGCTGTGTGCCAGTCCGAGTTAAACGCGGAGAGAGATGAACTCGATGGGGGACGAGTTTAGAGCGGCTTAGACAATAAGAACCAGATCAGTTGGTCGGAGCTACATTCTCAACAAGCTCATCAACTCGCTGTTGACAGACCTAACAAAAAATCAGAAGAAATATAGGATTCTTCTCAATAAGAATAATAAACAAGGGCCCGAAAAAATGTGTCCTTAAAAGCAAACAAAATGATGGACAATGCCAAATCAGATAAAGGCAACAGAGGGAGAAAAGGTGTTCAAACAAGCAAACCACGATTGTCTCAAATATTTTGAAGCCGCTACAAAATAGAACAAGAATCAAGAACACAGCCCGGTGAACCTGAACCCCGGAGCATTGACACAATCTGCCATCCAAGTCCAAACCCTTCCGCGACCCGAATCTCCTCCTCCTCCGATCTCGGCAGACAATTGCCGGTAATATGCTTTATTATTAGCCCTGCCAGCCACTGGAGACGGACATTCGCAATATGCAAATCCACTCAGCAGTCACACGCTCTAGTTTGGATTGTCTGTTTCCGCCATCCTCGATCTTCGGTCCTCCATCCGCAATCCTCCATCCTTGGCTCGGATCGAGGATCCATGATCCAGTCGGAGAGCTGCCTCTGGCCCTTTTCTGCTTGATTGCCGACAGCAGTTGGACAATTAAATGTTTGAATATCTCCCAACTTTGTCCATTCTCTGCCCCTATTGTAGTAATTTCTTGACACTTATCGCACAAAAGGCAATAACATTATTAATGAGCATGTCAATGAGCTTCCTTTGTCTTCGGCATTACACTTTTTCTGGTTCTCCTTGGGCGTCCTTAGTGTTAAGTATGAACTCCTGGGAGTTAAGGTTCAGTCTTGATTACAAAGTAAATTCGCTAATTCTTTTCGCATACACAAGGATCTTGTTATTACTTCAGAATTATGTTTATTCACCTATTATAGTGTTTTTGAATTAATATATAATATTAAACATGTTAAATTATGACTGAAGCTTATCGATTAGTTTCCTTTAATGCCTTGATAACTTTAGAGTTGTGTTTGACTAGGATGACTTAGAGTTATTGTTTAAAGATAATTTGTGATTTCGATTTCCATTTGTATTATAAATTTTATTTGACAATATAATCTCATAATCGCAACCTTTGTTGAAATTAATTTATACAGAACGTTTTTAATTCATTTAAAAGTTAAATTACGAGTTTAGCTCGTATTTATATATTTATAAAGATTTATTTAAGTTTCAGAATGAGTATCTATCTGTTAAATATGTCATTTGCCAATGGGGTCTCTAGCTAAAATATATATTTGAGCTGAATCTTACCTTTTCCAGAATGTATATTTCCAAAAGAGCATAAATTGTTAACTTAAAATGAGCACTATTTGTATTTGCTTATATGCAAATTATTATGTTTTTTAACTTGATAACACACACTGGGGAATTTCTGCACAAATCATTAAATATCAATTGATCATATCAGATATATTCTTCACTTGACACTGTTTAAATCCGAATTATCTCTGTTGATATAGCGACGGCTTTCGAGAGTTGCAGCAATCACGTGGCGCACATAATGCCGATCGGTCGGATATAATGATGTGATTTCTATAGCGATTGCGATTGCGGGAGCGAGAGAGCAGCGAAAGCCTGACTGACGGTGCTTGGCAGCGTAGCGTCCATCCGAGACTAAATCGATGCCGTCGTTCTGAGCGCCAAACAGACTCGGACTGCCAGGTTGGCCCTGGCCTCAAAGATCTCCTCATCCCAGCAGCAACATCTGCAGCAGTCACAGCCGCAACAGCAACACCAACAGCAGCAGCAGCAGCCACACTAACAGCAGTGGCAGCAGCAGCTAAAAGACAACAAAGCGCACGCGTCTCGAGATTGAGTTCGTGTGCGTTTGCAACAGTGGCAGGGCAAGGCGAAACGTAACTGTTAATCGACGGCCGCTGCCGCAGGAAATCCTGTTTGGCGAACAGCTGCTGCGGCAAAAGCTGCGCCTCTCTGCTCTGCCGACTCTGCTGCCCTGTAACGTAGGTATGATCTGTTAACTTAACAGTACACTAGGCCAAGTACAGATGGAAGCTAATAACTTTAAAATAAATCTTATAACCTACATATCTCAGATCTTTAATACATTTTAATAGTTTTTAGCAAACTGCTTATAAGGCCGCTTAACTTGACGGGCCTAAAATCAATAATGTTGTTTATGTAACACACACTTTTCTCTAAGTGTGCTCTGTTACCGATATTACTTCGAACATGTTCGCTGTATAGCAGTTCAGTTCGTTGGTTGCGGTTGGTACACTCTCCGCTCTCTGGAAATGCTGCCGCTGGGCTTCTTCTTTTTCTTGCGAATGCTGATCTGTGGTTGGCTGTTGGCACCGGCACGATCTCGAAGCGTTTCGTTCGGTTTCATTGAATATCGTCTCGATGTGGTTGGCCGTTGGTTGTTGTGCTTCTTACCCCCATTTGACTTACTCACGGTACTGTTATCATTTGAGTGTATTGGCTGCGAGAGTGTCGGCCGTGCTTTGTTTTCTCTGTGCCTGTGCATCCATTTGGACTCGTATTGGACGACTAATGTGGCAAGGAGGTGGGCACTTAATGCCCGGCGATCAGTGTAAATAAACATTTGGAGAAACCAAGAAAACAGTGGGGGAATTTGTTGTTTGTCCCGCAAAATGGTGAAAACAAGTTTGTCGCCTGAGTCTGTTGTATTATTTTTATATATTATAGATTTTTAATGTACTTTTTGCCGTAAAACTTAGAGATCTGCCTGAAAATGTACTTTTTTATAAATATTTATTTATGGATATTGTAATATAAATATATTATAAATTAACTTCTATCACCGTCTCAAGCGAATGCTGTGTAAAACCAACTATTAATCGAAGTTTCAATCATAATAAATCATTTCAATTAAATTTCCATTAAATGTTAAATCTAATATAGAGTAGTCACGGTTAATATTTCCTTGTTTAAATTGGATCCCCACCAGTGGCAATTGCCAGTGGAGCAATCATCGCGTTTCCATATGTCTAATTGAATTCTCTTGTCATAAGCATGATCAGATGATTGCCTCCGTGCGTCCAGATGCCCACTCAAGTGAGCCTCGGGCACTTGGCCAGTCTTTGTCTCCATCTCCATCTCTAGCTTAGACTTCGGCTCAACTCCAACTCGGCTTCTGTCACTTGGTGATGATGATGATTTCATTTTAATAACACCACTAGACGGGGAAGAGACTAGCACGGTGGAGATCGTTTAATACTCTGCATTCGCTGCGGCCGTGTCAACACCACTTGACGGAGTAACAAGGAAGCGCAACACTCTAAAACGACGTGTAATTTATCACAGCCAAAAGCATTTAGCCATGAACTGGAACGGAGACTCTAACTCCGACTCGGACTGCAACTGAATCTGGCTAGTTTCTTGGAGTAGTTTCCACTGGCTCTGCCTGTCAGCATAGTTGTCGTCATAATCTGCCAACTGGCGATGCAGCTCCTGGAGCTGCGGCACTGCAATTTTTGTCGTCATATTAACATTTCTCCTGCTCGTGGGCCAATCTCCCATCTTCCCTCTGCTCTGTCCAAATTTTTAATTAAGTTTGGGCCTTGGCAACGGGCGCACTCATATCTCGCCTGCTCGCGTGCTCATCTCCCGGTGATGAGTTGGGGCATTAGCTTTGATGGCTGCTCATATTTATTAGAGCGCAATCTGGCTCAAATTGTGGCCACTAGATGAGATATAGAGTTCAGGGCACTGTAATCTAATCAAAAGAAAAAGATAAGATACTTAAACTAGTAAGGAATGCTATAGTCCATGAATATTTCATATAAAAACAGTTTGTTTACTTTAGAGGCAATAGGGAAAGGGAAATGTTAGCAACAATGATAACTACTTGAATTTATTTTAATGATACTTTAAATTACTAGACAAAATACTAGAAAAATCTTAGTTAAAGACAAAGATCCTCTTTACTACCAAAAAATTTTGTAAAATGGAAAAGAAGGTTAATTTTGCTAGCTGGTAAGTAAAATCCTCAGCTTGTAACGCTTCTTACCTCCCTGCACTAAAACTTTTCAAAGAAAATTTCAATCAAGCCAAACCAAGATTGCCGAACACTTAAACAGGTCTGTCTTGCGCACTAACATGGCCAAATACAAATTGTGCATGGCCAAAAAAAAGACGAAAACCGAAAGAAATCACAGCGAGGCACAAGCAAAATAGGCGACAAATCTCCCGAAGCTGACTTGAAGTCGGAATGCCGGAGAATTGAAGACATTTGGCCACATTCGATCGATGCCAAATCGATCCAGATACAGATACTTTAAATCACAATTTCAATTGAAGGAGCGCTGGCCAAACCGAGCCAAAAAAATCAGCAAAATCGATCTGCGCACATGTCAAAGGCGGTAGCTGGCGCGGCAGCAACAGCGCGCGTAGACGCAGCAACATAGGCTGTGGCAACAACAACAAAAACAACAACAACAGCATTGGCACTGGCAACAACTGGCAGGCAGCATTTTATTTCAATTTCAATTGATTGTCGTACAATCGCCATGAATAATTCAATTTTTAGAATTGCATTGCATGAAGTCCGATAGAGATGGCTGCTTGGCAGGCGATCGGCGAGGGAGAAAGAGATGGAGTGAGGAATACGGAACATGGACATATTTTTGCCACTGTTTGTTGTTGTAGCTGTAAGTTATAGTCATCTTGCCTCGATCTCTTCTTCTCCCTCTTGGCTTTTCCCGACCCCCAAGTCGCTGTCGCTGTGTTATTGGCGATAAAAGGCCATAAAGAAGATCGCTCATGCGATTATCAAAATTTGGTCGACATTTGCATGACATTGAGCTGATATTTTGAGCTGAACCTTTTTACTAATACTGATAATACTTATACGTTTCAATATAACTCTATAATTCAGAAGAATCCAACTTAGAACTACGAAATTTACCGATTTATCCCAACATCCATTCGTATTTTGAGTCTCAAAACCCATCAGTACTTAAAGCACTTCAAAGGGATAAGAAATGAAGGCAGATGCTATGATTTCTGGATTACTTTTTAGGGTTAAGAGAGGGTAGGGGTGCGAAAAACGAATGCATCAAAACATCATCTTGAACCATTAGCAATGTCAGACACATCAAGCGTCCCTACCAAACGGGACTGTTTCATCTGCCACAGGACTCCAGCCAAGCAGCTTTGATTAATGAGTTTATTATGCAACAATTATGTATATAAACATCGGGCATTATATGCGAATACAAATCGGAGTGAGTGTTCCGAACGAATTCGGCTTTTGAGCGTTTCGAGATCACGGATCATTAATGAACTCGCTCCCGGCCCTTGACTTTGACACTTCATAAAGGTGTCGACGCGCGGGAAGAAGGAGTCGGAGTCGGAGTCGGAGTCAGAGACGGCATCCTGCCAAGGACAATAACCGGACTGCTAATTTCATTTGCTTCACTTTATGCAGGGACATGGACTCGTCTCGTCTCCCAAGACGTTCCCAGCTCGCATAAATCACACGCCGATGAATTTGCATAACTGCCGGTGAAGATCTCTCAAGTAATTTGTTCTGCTTAAGAGGAAACTAGTTTGCATCCTGTCCTGGGATACACTTAGCATCCTTTCTTGGCCACCGAGCCGCCTATATAGGCACGTCATGGCGAAGGGCTCCCAAGTGTATCGCTGGGATGCGGACTTCGATCCAGATCTCCTTTCATCCATCTGCCGGCTGCATTTCATCGCTCATCTGCTTTGCAATCCACTTGGAGCCGCGCCTTTTTGGGGCACATATTTGGCCTGTGATGTCATCGGACGCACATTTCACTCGCATAAATTCGCAGCCTAATTTGTTAAGAGCGCGTGCTTCAGTTTTCGCCCGAGCCGGCGGCTTCCCTCAAAAGATACTAATAACAATTGTGCTGCGATCTGCCTGGCTCTCTTTCGCTCATGGTTGGAGCTAACAAGGGGTCTCGCGGCATATGCGAAGTGCGGTTACCCTGAAACAATGTGTACCTACTTTTACTGTTAGGAAGGTTTAATAACAAGTAACTTATAAAAATCTAAAAGAGTCATAACACTATGATTAAAAATTGTATCTAAAAATAATTAATTGTCTTTATTTATTTTCTTTGTTTTAAACGAAGATTTTAAGATTCGTTATTGTAAGTAATAAACGTAAATGTTCGAAAATACAAAATAATATTTAAGCCTACATGGCCTTTAGTCTATTGTTTCCCACTTTTCTGATATTATTTAATAATAATAACTAAACTTTATAAGTACTTTTTACAAATAAATGAGTTTAAATTCGCTCGATGACTCCAACGATGAAACGGATGGAACTACTGACAAAAATGAAAAAGATTTTATAAAGATTTATAAGATTTTCTGATACCACGATTACACGCATTTCAAGATTTGTCTTAGGAGAACTTTTGAAATGGTTTTTACAAACCCATTAACCCTATGAAAGGGTATTTCTCAGGTCTTTGCATCTCACCCGCTCAGGCTAAGCTAAAGTGACAAATTGGAGCGTTTTTTCGGTGCCTTAGTGTTAAAGCCTGGATATGGGTGCAGGGGTCTGGGGTCTGGTGTCCGGGGTCTGTGGTCTGGTGCTTGGGGTCTGAAGCCCAGACACCTCTCCACACATGTGGAACGACGAAATTCGGGGCTTGGCCAGAGCGAGCCACACTTAAGTGGATTTCGGAGCATTCTGCAAGAGGAGAAACAAAAAAAAAAACGGTTTGCCCTATAAATCTTCTGGGTGTTGACTTGGTTTTCTTTTCGGTTTGGCTTTTTTTCTGCACGTTTTACGACTGACATTAATTGAATGCGTCTGAAATTGGGGGAACTTTCCTTTGGGCATAGCACACGCTTCATTTGATTTATTCGCAATGCGTAATCTTCGCGGCCATCCAAATACTCGGTGAACTTGGCATGAACCCCAGCTCAGCAGTGGGAATTAGAGGCCGAGGACGCGGCCTCTCCCCTTTTCGAAGTCGGTGTGTAGATTTGTCGGCCCGAGAACAAAGTGCAGCCGAAATGCCAGAAACAATTGCTTCACATTTTCCAACTTTCTTTCGGTATGCTTAATAGTCTGGGCCACGGACTGGAGGATAGAGCCCATGGATCGCTCCTAGAACCAGTCGCAAGATCAAAGCTCGGCGATATAATTGGTCCCTGCCGCTCGTTGACCGCAGAGATCCACATCCACAGCCCAATCCCAATCCTCCGGCCTGTGCATGCTTAATAATAATTCCTTTTGGCAAACAATGTAAATTCTTCATTAGCCTCCTAATTTGCTTGGGATCCCTCTGACCGCTCGATCCCGGCCAATTGTTTGTGCCTCAGAGATCTGGATAAAATGGTATTTTATGAGGAGCACAGCGAAATTTGTTACATTTTCTTCGGCTATCTTTGGCAGGGGGCTTCTGTCATTTCCACCGGGACATAAATGTTTCTATTTGTGGGCGGTAAGGGAGATGGAGCGCTGTTTATGGCTTAGTTTATGGTTTTAGAGTAAGGCCAATTTATGGAGAGGTGAATTGGGAATTGGGAATACACCCAACTATTGGATTTGAGGGTAAATATTGAATCTACGCATTTTGAAACATTCATCAAGAAACTATATATCCATATTTATTATCAAATTCGTCGTCTTCTATCTTGGCTGTCGGTAAGGGAACATACTTACCTTTTATCCAGATAAAGTTCTTGAAATATTGAGTGCTTACCCTTGAGCTTAACTTGAGATTCTTTACATCCTGTACGATTCTAAATTCTTCTTATTAATTCGTCTTTCCAATCAGAAAAGCAATAGTATATTACGCTCATTAGGCATTCTATCCTGCATATTTGAAACGCTTTTCTCCTCTTTCTGTTTTTCCATCTCGGAGTAATTTTTCACTCCACATGCTTCGAAAGCAAGTCGCAGGAATGCCGCTGATTTGCGCTGATTGATCGATTGATTGAGTGATTGACAACGGCGCCAATGAGAGGCCGATCATTTGCTAACTTGGGTAGTTCACGTTCGCTAATTAATTAAATGCCGAAATGCCAAAGCTGTCATAGCCAGATCACTTCGAATATGGCCAGGTTGGTGGTTTTAACTTGGCCAGAGGGCTGCCTTCAGGTAGAGCTTTCCATTTGGTTGCTGATGGAGGATGGTAAATGGTAAATGGTAAATGGTAGATGGTAAACAGTAAATAGTAATTGGTAAATAAATGTTTTGCTGGGTTTTCCTGTACTCCAGAGCACTCCATGGCACTCCGACTCTCTAGTTGAGTGCATTACTGCAGAAATTTCTGGGTTTTGTTGGTCGGTCGGCTGCTCTGCTTCTCCGACTGTAACTGGGACCATTCTTTACGAGAGGCAATAAATTTAACAATTTGTTTAGTGCAGACATGCACATGGATGCGGCACCAATACACGGACACGCAAAGTGTCTACGGCTCCTGGCCATATATGGCCAATCCTGAGGCTGGGGCCGCTTTGGAGATGCCAAAAGCAAAGCAATTTGTCGTGCGGTAAACCAAAGGCCAACAACAACATTCGGGCAGCTGTTTGTCGCCACCTGGATGGGTTACTTAAGGGGGTCAGGGGGCTCTTGAGGAGCGGTACTATAGCGGCTATATAGAAAGCAAGAGTTAAACAGTTTCGAACCATTTCGCAATACAGTATTCCCGTCACGCAGCCATCCGTCGCCTTAGGATTTCGACGGCCAAACATGGCGCGGCGATAATCGGAGCTGATCGATAGAATTAGTGACTTTCTTCGGATAAACCATCACTTTTCCGCCCGAACAACTTTCAACCTGATTGATCTATTGGTCAACGTGGAGAGGTGAGAGAAAAGCTAAGTACGGGGATCTAGGTGGTGTATGTGGTGAGGAGGAAACCCAAACCTTCTTTATATGGTTATATGGATATATGGTTATATGGTCTAACAAATGATTGATGATTGAATCCCGACGTAATAGATATGCTTTCCAAGAAGAAGTCTACAAGGTTACTTTCTGTTCTATAAGATAACCTATGATAGTGAATCATCTTTTTTAGTTACTAGCTTTTCTAGTCACCCCAATTCCCATGGAATTTTCTTTATCGCCGGAGAAAAACATCAAGAGCTAAGGGCGTTCACGCGAAAAATAGAATTTGGTGTCAATGCTCAGGGACAAAACAGCAACTCAAATAAGAGAGGAAAAGCCGGGGAAGAACCGCTAAAGTGAAAACCCGACGAGACAAAAGACAACAAGCAGAACCAAAAGGTAAATAGCGGCAACCAGGCAACAAGTGGATACTCGATGTCCGATGTCTGATGTCCAATGCCCGATGCCCGATGCCCCCATGCACTGCCCATTTGGCCCCGGTTGAGACCGCATTGGCCTAAACAGTCTCTACACTCTGGGAAAAAGTTAGAATTTTGTATAGTTTAACAAAACTGAAATAAATGATTGTATAAAAATTTGGTTTTTAGTTTATTACTTTTGAAATGGTTCATCAGCGGAAATGGGCCTGTGAAAGGACAACATTCTGGTGGTCTTATAGAGGTCTTATAGTTGATAAATAATTTTAGTACATATATATTATAATATATTTTTAAACTTATTGAGTGATTTTTGCAAGTGCCGACATTCGCTGCGGCCTCGCTGTCTATGCCAGTGTCTCTGTCTGTGCCCGCGTCTCTTTTCCTGTCCATGTCGATGGCAACGTCGTCATCTCTCCTGTGAGTCGGTGTCCGACTTCTGCCCCTGGTCCACCTCCGCCGCACCTGAACCACCATCCACCGTACTCCGGCCATTCCAGTTGCCGGCTCGTATGCATGCCAGCCATATAATGCAGCTCATCAACAACAAAACGGCAGCGGAGGCAAATGCAACATGTGCTCCATGCAGCAAGTGCCCTGCTTCTTCTGCCGGGCTTCTTCTGACTTCTTCTACAGCCATAAACAAATATGAGTGGCTGCGCATGCGCCTCTCTCTCTCTCTCTCTCTCTCTCTGTTTCTGCAGGCTCGTATGTGTGCGTGCGCCTCCTTCAAGAAGTGTGGGAAAATTTTCGGAATTTCTTTTGCTCGTTTTGGTTTTTCTTTCTGCAAGAGCCCCCATTTCCCCCGTCTTTCTCCACCTCCCACAGCAGGTTGCCATGCAGAGGCGGGTGGATGGGGGGGCGTGGCATAGCGGGAGCCTGGGCTCGGCATGCCAACTAGTGAAATTCTTTTTGATAATTTAATTTAAGAAATATTGTGTATAGACGCAAACGACCCCGACCCCTTGACCAGGCGGCGGCAACCAGAATTAGGCTTAGCGAATCCTCGACTGTTGGCTTTTTGTGTGTGCCGAATTCTCGGCCAGGCAGCAGCGGAGAAAGTTTTGTCTCCGCTGAAAAGAGCTTAATTACTCGCCAACAAGATTGATGGAAACTGGAAAAATTATAAATGGCTGAAGCTAGCAGGGAGATTCTTTGGGATTTCAGTCGCTGATAGATTTAATATTACTTCTTTATTTCAAATCAATACTAAATAATAAGGTTTTAGCAAGGTTTTAGGAAGAGCCAATAGAAGTAGAACTTCTTAAAATCGTCCTATTTAATGCTATTTAGAATGTTAAACATTCTAATTAGCAATTAGAAGCACCAAAAAGAGGGTTCTTCCTCTGCTTCGCCTTTATTATCGCTGTAATTATTTGAAAAGTAATCAAAAAGAGCCTTACCCACCTTTAAAGAATTTTCAATTAAGCCTTATATAAGTAAAAGCCATCCCACATTTTATTAGCCAAGCAAGCCATCGGAGATCGTGTAATTGAACTCCTATTGGAGGCAGGCATTCGTCCATTCCGCATTGTCATCATCATTTGGCGGACAAACATTAACCGATCTCGTTTAGCCACGCATAGTTTAGTTTATGACGTCGATTAGTTGCACTATAAGCAACACCTTTAACTGCCAACAAATTACAACTTTATCATGCCGCAAACGACGTCTGCAGGCCGGAGTCTGGAGTCTCCATTCCGCGGACCCGTTCCCAGGCCATGGCCATCAATTCTGGTCCGATCTGCTTCGAGAGCAGTTCGCATAATTAATGAAGTGCAGGAATGGCAGCGAGTGGCAGCAGCCACAAATGCCACAAATGAAGCTATTCCACGGAGTGGGCCAGTCTTGTGGATGCCGCGAACTGCGGCTCCTCCATATTTATACAGAGCGAGCATGTTAAATAAAAGATAAGCGGCCCAAGCGGCGAGTGTCACGCGCTCCTCCATTCCGCTCTATTCCCACCTCCTGTATCCTCCTCCCGGTCCCTCCTCCACCTTGGTCCCTCCTTGCCTGCAATTTCAATATGCAGTTGGGCTCTTTCTCCGGGTGTCGCATCATTTTGCAAGTCTAATCACATAAACTAAAACTGCCGTCATTAGGGAAATGTTGAGACGGCTTCTTTGGATCTTTGGATTCGGGAAGGGAACGGCAGAGGGTAGTTCTATGGGCCAGAAAGTTATGGTAATGCTGCAACGCCATTTCAATATTTCAGGTGATGCAAGTACGTTGCTTTTTAGTATGGTCTTATTACATTATATATAAAATATATTTCACAAAATGGGTTCTTGTTATTATAACCAAAACTATAACTTATTTTGTTTTAGGCACTTAACTTAGATTAGGGTTTGATGAGTATTTGGACATAAGGAAATCCCATAGAGCAAGATTTATATAGACGTTAACTACACAGAAAATTAGAGTTAAGTATTAAAATCTTTGACATTTTGCTATGACTTTACCACGGCTTTCATCTACTCGTATTTTAAGAGTTCTCCATATTCAAAGGTAAACTTCAAGTAAAGAATTATTGATACAATTTGATAACATCTATAAGTAGGTATTTTCTTTCTGTGCAGTAAACTATAATTCCAGACTGCCGAAATCCAACTGCTACCTTTCTCCCTGTAAAGAAATAAAACGGAATCAGAAATGCTGTTAACAGTTCCTGCATCGATCTCAGTTGGCCAGGAGTCGAATGTGTCAACACTTAAATTTAGATTATACCATATATGTGTGCGTTGACTGATTTTACCATCGGGTGCTGCAATATTTAATTTTAGACTCCAGCGGGGACTGGGTCGCAGTCGGCACTCCGCAGTCGGTGGCAGTTGCAGTTGCTAGCCAGTCAGTGACTGTGATGTTGATCAGAAAGCATTTGCTCGGCCAGCTTGTAATTCAATCTGCTTGCATTCAGACATGTAACAGCAATTTTAAAACAATTTTCAACTTACTGACAGACCGGCTACCGGATTGGCTTGGCCCCAGCCTCATCCACAGCCTCTTCCACAGCCTCTGCCTCAGCCCCAGCCCCGACTCCAAACTCAGCTTCAGATCCAACTTCGGATCTTCAGCCCGGGGCTGAGGCTTGGCTTTATCCGCTGTCTGGGTATCAGAATCGGAGCTGGCAACGGCAACGCTTTTTGAGTGACTTTGGTACCAATCTGTCCATCATCATTACCATCAAGTGTAACATTTGTGACGACAGCCAGCGGCGATCCGAGAACCTCAGGTGCTGCAGATGATGCTGATTCTGAGTCGGAGTCTGGTGCCGATGCTGAATCTGATACTGATGACGATGACGATGACTGTCCCCCTCTCTGAGTCCCAGCTCCTTGGGATCCGATCCAACGGCTACTGATCTCGGTGGCAGGCCGAAAGCGCAGCGAAGCTGCTCCAGCGTGCTGTGAATGCCTGTGCAATTACTTTGTAATTTAAGTTATTGATTGCCAGGCTGCTCTCTTCTCTCCTCTCTAGGCCTGGTCCCCTCTCCCAAGGTCCTGCCTCTGTTAGATAATCTCTGAGCGGCACCGTTACAGGCAGCACCCAATGTTACTTTGTTTTTCTGCCCTATACAAAGTTTAATGTGTTGAAAGGGCATTTCAGATAGGTGGCAAAGGTAATTTACGAAAAATAATTGATGTAATCTTTAGGGAAAGGACAAAGGTATATGGTTAATATAGTTTCTATATCCATTAGCACTTTGGTGCTAAAATTATATATTTTAGAAAAAAGGAAGAACTAAAATTGGATTAGGTTGTAATAAATACATAAAGTTAAGCAAATAACCAAATAACAATTTAACTTTATTCAATATCAATTAATAAACTGCAAAAATAACAAATTTTTAAAGTAAAAAACAATAATCTTGATATAAACATGTAATAATAAATAAAGTGAAGTGTCTACCTAAAGATCTTAAGAAAAGAATATAAAGTTTTACCTTGAGTAATCTCTCAAATATTGTAGGACATCTAGCAAGTCGCCTATAGCCGACCCAGTTAATGCCCACTTTTTCTTCCTCTCTATATAGATTATGCGTTTAACTTAGAACGATCTGGCGATCGTCGGGACTGGGTTATTCCGGCATATCTCATGTTTGGATTAGCAGCAGCAGCCAGCCAACCCGAGCCAGAGAGTTGGCCATTGATGCGATTTATGGCGAAATTCAATTTAGATTTTTGTAATCATTTAGTTGTACGCTTTTTTACTATTTATTATTTGTAGAATGAGGCTCCCTGGGCTTTGATATTATTAAATGGTTGAGTCTTTGTCATTTTCGCATTGCTGGATGTTGAGTTGGATGTTGAGTTGGTCGAGGATCGATCGAGACATAGACACTATCTGATAATTGCAGCGATGGTGCAGGCAGGAGCGACATTTTTTCTATATATATTCCACTTTTTGTGGCACTGGAAACTGTCATAACTCATTGATGTTGCGGCTGGTTGTTCCTGTGTTTTGTTTGAGCTGACAAGGGGCAGAGATTGATGTATTGATTGTTGTCAGTTTGTAATGCTGACATTTATGACAGTAATTTGTTTTCGCAATTTGTTGGCCACTCCAGAGCGTACGCGGATATAGGTTGGAACGGATATTATTGAATCTGTGGGACAGGTGGAGGAGCTATCTGATTCGGAGAGCCAGAGCCAGAGCTAATTAGTATTTGAGGACTGCGCATCATATTTCACAGCAATAGCTGGAACCTTATTATGGCCGGTTGGCTTTTACTACGTGCCACAGATGCGCTTCGAGGTTGATAGCTCGATTTGGTGTCCTTCGGTTCGAGTCGGACTCGAAATGAAAGGCCTTGGCACTTTGAAGTTTCAGCGTCGATTTGATTGCCTACTTATATGCGGAGTATGCATTTCACTTTGTTCTCCCACCGACTTCGACTTTCCCCCAGCGCAGTCCTCCATCCCAGCCCCATCTGCGACCAGTTCAGTTTCAGTCCGAGTCCAGTTTCGACGGGGACTAACAAAGAAATCAAAGACAGTCTGCAGAAATAAATCACAATTCGAACCAAATCAGTAGAAAATCCCGTGCCATAATAGGCAAAGTGTTTGTCTATGAGTGCCTCACTAATTTGGTCATTAATTGGCATTGGCTGTATGGATGGGCTCCACATTCAGACGCACAGTGTACTCTGGGTATATACTACTGGTTAAGTGCGTACTCATATGTATATTTCTATATTGGGGCGCCAGGGATGAGCGGTATTATTTGGCAGTCACGGTTAGGCAAAAAATCTATCTTAACTACTATCATAAGAAAACAACATTTTGCTATGATCATCATATTAACACATCCCAGAATTTAAATGTAAACAGCTGTTTAGTCTAGTAAGATAGCCAAGATATCTTTAAAAATTTAAAAACATCATAAATAGATTTTGTAAAATCTTATAATGTCATCTATATAGTACGATATTCTTGAATAAAAAACGTGTCACTATCACTGTGGCAACTGCGATCGCCTGGGGGCAGCACAGCTCCGAAGTGTGTGTGTCATGCCCAAATTCTCGAAACACCCAAAAGGCATAACTTGAGCTCATAAATAACAAAAATTGCCAACGACAAACAACGTTGATATTTAATAATAATAATAATAAATGTGCCAAAACAAGACAGGCAGCTGCCGCTGGAGGAGGCTAGAAAAACTGGCCAGTGGCCACGATCCTCGATCGAGGAGCAGATGATGCCCAGTTTCTGGTGCCTGAAAAGAAGCAATTCCCGCAATCACAACTCGAGCAGAGAGCAGAAGAAAGTAGGAGTTCGCCGGTGCGATTTGGTCATGCGATGGTGTTTTCCTACGCAGCTGGAAGCCATTTTTAGCGAGAGCCCGCCAGATGATCGATGATCGATGATACCCAGGTCGCCTCCGCTTGGCCAAGAGCGGCCTGCCTTTTGAAATGGATTCAGCCAGACCCGCCAGCGCCTTGGGGGCATCGTTTTTAGTTTTGGTTATCGCCTTACCAGTAGCAGCAGCCACCGAGCCAGGGAGCAACCCAGCAGCAGTGGCAGTGGCCATCAGATCAGCCAGGAGCAGCCACCGGCTCGTATCTGGGATCTGGGAAGATATCGCCTCGGACGGAGGCAACAAGTTCATTTCGTTTTTGGTAAATTACTCTGGCTCTCGCGTCGCAAGTGATGTCTGTATTCGACAATCTAGATCAGCACCACAGTTTACGACGGCTTTATGACACGTTTAGGCCGCCGTTAATGTTATCAATTACAAGAACTGTCAGCTGCAAAAGGAATATGTTGGCCAAACATGAGAATAACGATATAGTTGGGCCAGCAGCACATTAGGGATTATTATTAATCGGGATGTGATGCCAGATATTAATGTTATGATTGATGTCTATGCCAGCTTTGAAGTTTCCGTGTGGCAATGGAAAAGGGAACATGGAAAACTACGGGTTTTTATGGACATTGCAATTGAGTTTCCTCCTTATATATATATATATAGTTTATATTGTTAAACCTTTCCCAAAATACTAGTTTACTGAATGCGGCAACTACCAAAAACTACTCATCCGCAACGTTGGTTTTTAAGTCGCAATCCAATTAGCATTATGTTTGGGATATTTCTGGAAAATATAAGAAATTTAATCCGAATTTTGCAGAGAGGGCTAACGGTCTGCCCAGGGATAAGCTCATACCAAAGCCAAATGCCAACGAAGACGGAAAAATGCTGGAAATAGGAAAGAAAAAGTCAGGGGAAGAATTAAATTAATCTTTGCCAAGTTAGCAGATGATGAGTGGCATGCAAAATGCCAGACGGATTTATGGGAACGGACAGATTTGGAGCAGTGAAGTGGGGAATCCAAACGATGTTACGCATTAGACAAACAACAAGCAGTCGGACGGGTGTCCAGTTGGTCACTCTCCAGTTCGAGTCCGCATCCGAATCCCAGGCCGAAATTAAGCCGTATGCTGATTTCATTTTAATTACGGAGCACCTCCACCCACCCCTCTCCCGCCTCACCCGACTCCTGGCCCGGAGTGATGGCAATCATGCATGGCAAAGCTGGATCAGCTTAGAGCGACAAGTGCGTAATGCACTTGCAATTACAAATACCCAAGCCGAGACGCTCCTCTATCATCTGTCCAGGCACATACTCGTGCTCCTATGTGTGTAGTTTCAGTGGATCTCCGATCTCTGGAGCTGTGAGCTCAACTTGTCAACCCAAATAGGTGCAGATGAAGAGAGTGCGTGGCTGGGCGATCAAAGTCGAGTAAACTCCCAGGCGGTAATAACTGGCTGGAGAGAAGATTTGAGTTAGAGTTGTGAATCCTTTTGGGGCAAGTATTTTATCACGAAGGTAAACCTTTTTTTAGCAATGTTTATATGTGAATTTTATACAGTCTACGTTTCATAAACTAACTTATTTCATCATTAATACCACAGAAATATATTCATGACTATCAATATTTAAATATACGTTTTAATAATAAACTAAAGTAAGTTCAAATACCTCCCACTGACCTATCTTGAGCATTTATCTTTTCCCATCGTGATCACCTGAAAAGGGTCTCATTTTCCACGAGGTTGACCGCCATCCGTCAAAGTTTTCCCGTTCGAACTTGTGGTGCTAATGTGTCGAGCCAAAGTGCCAACAGTCATAACTCATTTGGCTTTAAACGGCTGCCTAAAAAGGCATTTATTGTTGGCTGCCCTGGACGTGCGAACTGAACCACAAAAACGCTGCAAATTTGCAGTTACATATAGGTATTTTCATATGTTTTTACCGGCAACCAAAACCAAGTCACGCGTTGCAGTTGCAGTTGAATGCGGCAGGAAACGGAGTATCAACCTATGACGGGTTGCCCGCGGCGTCTCCACGAGTTAGTTACA